CCGCTGGGACGTGTGTACTCTGATATCCATGTAACTAGTTTAGTCAAGAGTTTTCCAAATAACTTGTTGGTTGGTTGGTTGGTTTGTTGTTTAACGCCGCACTCAGCAATATTCCAGCTATATTGCGGCGGTCTGTAAATAATCGAGTCTGCACCAGACAATCCAGTGATTGATATTATGAGCATCGATCCACGCAATTGGGATTGATGACATGCATCAACCAAGTCAAGGAGCCTGACCACCCGATCCCGTTAGTCGCCTTTTACGACAAGCATAGTCGCCTTTTACGGCAAGCATGGTTTCCTGAAGACCTATTCTACCCCGGATCTTCACGGGTGTAAATCAGTCGCCGACACTGTCAAGTTCATAAATTTAAATCCTGCAAATGAAGTAAATAAAATAAAAAATCAATTTCTTATTGACCTATCGATGTTATGGGCGTGTCATTTTGGCAGCTAGTGAACAATAAGTTAAGTAGAAAGCGTTACATGTGAACACTATGACTGACGACTTTGGACGTCGTGGATGACGTAATCTTATTGTTCTCAACATGGCAGCAACATGACGGCCTGCAGAAATCGGCAAACATGCTTGACGGAAAGAGCCGAACATGAGATTGGGGCTACAGCTGATATGTGCAAAGAGTTAAACCCTTTTTGGTGAAACATATAATTGATGTCATTGTCGGTGAACCTGGCGTCATTAATGTCAGTGATGTTATTGTCCATGAACCATGTCATCAACGATGTCATTGTCCGTGAACCTGGCGTCATTGATGTCATTGTCCCTGAACCATGTCATCAACGATGTCATTGTCCGTGAACCATGTCGTCAACGATGTCATTGTCCGTGAACCATGTCGTAAACGATGTCATTGTCCGTGAACCATGTCGCCAACTATGTCATTGTCCGTGAACCATGTCGTTAACTGATGTCATTGTCCGTGAACCATGTCGTCAACGATGTCATTGTCCGTGAACCATGTCGTCAACGATGTCATTGTCCGTGAACCATGTCGTCAACTGATGTCATTGTCCGTGAACCCTGTCGTCAACTGATGTCATTGTCCGTGAACCATGTCGTCAACTGATGTCATTGTCCGTGAACCATGTCGTCAACTTATGTCATTGTCCGTGAACCATGTCGTCAACGATGTCATTGTCCGTGAACCGTGTCGTCAACTATGTCATTGTCCGTGAACCATGTCGTCAACTTATGTCATTGTCCGTGAACCATGTCGTCAACTTATGTCATTGTCCGTGAATCATGTCGTCAACTGATGCCATTTTCCGTGAACCATGTCGTCAACTGATGTCATTGTCCGTGAACCATGTCGTCAACTATGTCATTGTCCGTGAGCCATGTCGTCAACGATGTCATTGTCCGTGAACCCTGTCGTCAACTGATGTCATTGTCCGTGAACCCTGTCGTCAACTGATGCCATTTTCCGTGAACCATGTCGTCAACTGATGTCATTGTCCGTGAACCATGTCGTCAACTTATGTCATTGTCCGTGAACCATGTCGTCAACTGATGTCATTGTCCGTGAACCATGTCGTCAACTATGTCATTGTCCGTGAACCATGTCGTCAACTTATGTCATTGTCCGTGAACCCTGTCGTCAACTGATGCCATTTTCCGTGAACCATGTCGTCAACTGATGTCATTGTCCGTGAACCATGTCGTCAACTTATGTCATTGTCCGTGAACCATGTCGTCAACTGATGTAATTGTCCGTGAACCATGTCGTCAACTGATGCCATTTTCCGTGAACCATGTCGTCAATTGATGTCACTGTCCGTGAACCATGTCATCTCCCGAGACTTAAACTAAAACGTGGATTAATGTGGATATTAATATAGGTGCACGAATAATTCAAATACGTTTTAAAAATCGGAATTGGTTCAGTGCATGATGTGGAAATACACTCCTGAAATATTATTTATAAACTAGCACTAAGATAAAACAGTGCTCCATTCACTGACGAGACATTGCAAGCATATACACTGTACATATCTTCATAAAATCGGTGTCCCCAATATGGCCGATGCATTGCTGATATGGCGTGAATTTATTACGCGTTTAAACTATCTCACTATCAAATTTACGACATTATTATCTGCATGCGTTCTTCACTGGCGTAGGAGGGATGAGGAAATGAAAACCTAGGCTATTGAGAACTTAGGTAGCCCCACTAGAGCCCCACTAGAGTCTACGTATTATACATAATATACTGATTTATGACACCCATTCAGTTATGACCCCGTGGTTGTCACGGATTTCAATTGGTCCCCGGCAACCAATGCTGGTCGTACGTTGCGTGTTGGTAGATCGGGTGTCGGTAAATTGGTTCATTGCGTGTCAAAGGCGTCGATCGCTGTTCATAATATCAATCACTGGTTTGTCTACGAGGCGACTTGGTCTTCAGCAACCATGCTTGTTGTAAGAGGCGACTAACGGGATTGGGTTGTCAGACTCGCTGACTTGGTTGATGCATGTCATCGTCGATCCCACATGTGTGGATCGATGCTCATGATGTCAATCACTGGTTTGTCTGGTCCAGATTCGATTATTTACAGGCCGCCGTCATACAGCTGGAATACTGCTGAGTTATACTCACGCAAACGCCGGCCTTTTCGAAGTGTTGGCATCCGACATTCCGATAGTGCTAGGGTGGCAAATAATGTATGTGATGGCAGGAATCAATGCTCACACCCTCAATAACTGGTCCGATTACTCTACAGACCACTTTGATACAGTTGTATTTTGGCTGATTGTAAAATAAAAAAAACATCCCCTCCAATCGTCTCTCTGGATCACTTTCAGGCATTAGAGAAATGTCTGAATCAATTAACATTTACGATGTGATTTGTTTCCGTTCGGTATCGAACGACGGAGTGATTATAGATTTAAGAGACATTTAAGGGGATGTAGTATCGGTGAAGACTGGGCTGACTTGATGGAGATGCCGCATTTACCTAAAAAACATCGGAGACACGGAGAAGTTGAAATCGGTCAGCCTTGGTCTTCACTGAAAATATTTAGTGAATATGTCACTCAACATTTGTGAGTGAGTGAGTGAGTGAGTATGGTTTTACGCCGCTTTTAGCAATATTCCAGCAATATCACGGCGGGGGACACCAGAAATGGGCTTCACACATTGTACCCATGTCGGGAATCGAACCCGGGTCTTCGGCGTGACGAGCGAACGCTTTAACCACTAGGCTACCCGACCGCCCCTCAACATTCGTAATAAGACACATGGGGGATACGGCTTACGCCATTGCTGTCTTGTAAATGAATATGGCGTTATAGTTTTGGTTTGGTTTTGTTGTTTAACGCCGCACTCAGCAATATTCCAGCTATATGACGGCGGTCTGTAAATAATCAAGTCTGGACCAGACCTTTCAGTGATTGATATCATGAGCATCGATCCACGCAATTGGGATCGATGACGTGCATCAACCAAGTCAGAGATCCTGACCACCCGATCCCGTTAGTCGCCTTTTACGACAAGCATAGTCACCTTTTCCGGCAAGCATGGGTTGCTGAAGACCTATTCTACCCCGGAATCTTCACGGGTCGAATATGGCGTTATAGAGGAGTAATATGGCGTTATAGAGGAGTATAGTTCTGTAGTTAAGTATATAACTGTAAATAAATGTTAAATATGTGTTGTAATTAATTTGTTGTCAAACAATATTTGGAATTATAACATAACGGTGCTACGACGAAATTTAACGGTAAATGACAGTTGAAATGGCGGCTTGCTAGATTTATAAGGCCAAAAGGTCGTTGTCATGTTCCGCAGTGAATACGAGACGCAGTTTCAACTTTAATAAAACTTTTATTCAGTGTTCATATGAGCTTGACGACCCAGTAAGCAGAGTCCCCGGGTTGGCGGTGGGCCCTAACATCAAGTCATACATGTGCAGTCGGCGGCTGTTGAATAATGTAAAATGCATTAAATCCTCGACAACTTGCCCCATTAAGGACTCCCATTTTCAAGGCCTTTCATTGCGGCCAATCATTTGAAAAACACGTGACAGCAATGGTTGGACGTTTTATGTCATATACAATACGCGTAACCTGGGTCGAGTTGTGTCTGAATTGTTATATCCAGGATGTTTTACTGCATAGGCATGTGGTATTTCGGTATTAGACTCAAGATCAGCCAATATGTCTGTCATGCGTATTAAGTAGTTTGAGTTTATGTTTGAAAGTGTGATAAAAAGAACTCTAACCCTGAAAATGAGACCGCCTCCGTGGTCTTGTGGTAGAGTGTCCGCCCGGAGAGCGGAAGGTCCAGGGTTCGATCCCGGGCCGCGTCATACAAAAAAACGTTAAAAGATTGTACTTGTTGTTACCCTGTCTGGCGCTCGGCATTACGGGGCTAAAACAAGGACTGGTCGGCTCGGAGTCAGTATACTGTGTCTGAGTGGGGTATTCATGTGAAACTGCGGCATGGTATCTCAGTGAGCTAGCACTATAAATCGGCATCAGTCCGGACTAGTACAAGCAGCCACACACACACATACACGTGCATGCACGTCGCTATATAAGTGCAATAATCTTGGACGCGACGTTAAACCCAATTTCACCTCACCTGAAAATGATGTATGAAAGCTATATAGTTCTATAAACTAGCACCTGTCACTTGTAATGTCTCCTACACTTCTTGTGGGAAAACTACATGAAAATGCACAAATAGCTGCGAACATGATGGATTTAAATTGTTGCAAGAATATATTTCTTGCTTGTGTGTCAACAGTGCTAGATTCACACAACAAATATCTCCACTAGAGCTGGTAAACGCATTTAGGTAAAGTCGATATACGCTATGGCACGTTGAAGTCATGATTTTAGTCATTACAGACAATATTAAATTTATTAACTCGTGGATTTCGTTTAGGGGTATCTTCTGGTTCTTTTGAAGTCATTATACGTTGGCCTCATTCAGTTTAAGCATCCGGATATCTTTTATGCGGTATGCAAGACAGGATGTGAATTGAGAGTGCCCTCCCTTTGAAAAACATGTTTCCGGTTTGAAATTGAAGACGTTTGCCTTTGTTTTGATATGAACGTTATATCTTATTGAGATTCGGATGAATAGACTTGGGTGAAAGATATCTTGATAAGAGTGCCTTTCCTGTAGGAATGTTGTCAAGGTAGTTCCGATGAAACTGTTGGTCAAACTTGACCAACAAAAATGACAGGTGGGGAGAGGACAAGTGTTACGAGGAGTGACGGCAACGTCGTCCGCATGCTACAACGTCGGCAGCTCGGGGGAAGATGTAATGTCTACAGGAAGGATCTGAAAATCTTGCGGAGTATAATTCTCAGGGTATTTGTCAAGTATTACCTAACGTACCAAGCGCGCAGTGTCTTTGATGTGACTGAGAGCCAGACCGATCGACACCCTGCACGATCTGACACCAGCTAATTCCCAAATGGTCTCCCTTATGTATCCACGTGTAATGGCCAATTGACCACTCACTCATTAGCAATGAGTAGTTCTCCCTTATGTATTAATGTCAACACCGCTAAATATATTTGTGAGACAGTTTGACTGTATCCATGTGCGCTACCCAGTTCGACCACTCGCTTGTATTTTCAGTTATTGTTAAACGCATATGGCAAAAGGTAATTTCACCAATATGGATACATTTTATGTTGTGATATTTCTTTTCAACTGATTGCATGTTATATTTTCTTTTGCTTAAAAGGGCCTAAAAAGGTAGAAGAGCCTTGCATTGGTTCTACAATGGTGTCAATCTCCATTATGTCTGGCAGGAGGGTAGACGGCAGACATTTCTAGTCCAAATTATGGGTTTTAGCGAAAACGGCACCTCGGCAACACGTCATCGGGCGAAAACGGCACCAATTGGCGAAAACGGCACCTCGACTCAAGATAAACGGCTACTATTGCCTGCCAAAAACGGCACCTTATATTTTACACCTTGGTCAAATAAATGATAATAAACTGACATAAAACAAGTAAGAAATTAGACCCCTTCTCCAATTTACTCGCCGACTCTGATTGGTAGGCACAGTTAACTTATTGTGAAAACACATTACGCTTTGAAGTTTTAAGTACTTTTACCCAATTTAAGCTGAAACTGTATTTAACAGGCCAAACATGGTGCTGTCAGATCACAGTTATTCATAATGGCCTTTCGACGTGTTGCATGCGAGAAGAATGTCAGAAAAAATACCATGTAAATAAACCATATATATTACTACAAAAATCGTTCTTATCATTATTAAAAATATATCTAATGGTGCCGTTTTCGCCCGACACATAGTAGCCGTTTTCGCCAAATGCGGTGCCGTTTTCGCCAGGGAAATCGGTGACGTTTTGCTGAGGTGCCATTTTAGCCTGCACCCCCAAATTATAAGACCTTTGGAGTGATCAGGTGTCGGAACATATAGGCTGTTTAATTGGCCTGGCATTCATCACTGATTGGTACATGCTGCAATCTAGTTGTTACGTACATTGACTAACACTTTATCTCTGAAAATATATTGAACTGCATTTAAATTGGAAAGGAGCCCCAGTGAGATGGAAGATTCAGAACCTGTGGAAAATCTAGACTTGCTTTATTTAGGGCAATAGCAAGACAGCAAGAGCTGGCAGAAGGGAAAATAAGATGCTTCAGGAACTTTCATGCTGAAAATGATGTTAAATGGTACATGTTACAAGTCAATTGGTAATAGTGGTATGTCATATTTCCTGAATATCTGAATAATCATTCATAGATTCTCTGTCAATATGGGAGCGAAAATCATGAGTATTCATCGTCCAAACCACCCTTTGAGGCTGAAGGGGGCCTCAAAGGGTGGTTTGCACAATGAATATACATGACTTTCGCTAAAAAGTCCTGTGCAATATGAGGCACTGTTAACATTTCTCTGTTCTTGTTCAAAGGGTAAAACAGAATACCGCAAGGTATGGGAGAAACAGTCCAAGTCTCATATTTCCTGCGAAGGGTAAGTTTTATTCCACAATTTTGACAATTTTAAATTTTGAAGTTTACTTTTCACATCATAACCAGGATTTGTCCTGTTCCTACTAGTTTTGGGTATTAAATGAGTGTTGCTATATAAAATATTTGAATTTATATTTGTTATGGTTCATTATCGTGATTTAGTTTCTCAACCTGATATTTTTTTTCAGGAGTCGAGTCTACTTTGATAACTACAAGTCATGCCATGCAGGGTAAGGAACATAACTGTCACCATTACAAGTTCTCTCTTCTGGCTGTAAAATTACTGCTATTATTCAAAATGCTAAAATCTTATTCCAGTGGTGAATACAGTGAAACTACACCCCTCATATCCCATGCTTGTCCATCTTCCTGAGGCAAGGGAGTTAACTGACTGTAAAAGTCTAGTTTCCACTCATGCCGAATGTGGCTGGAATTTCTGGGCTCCATCATAGTACCACCGACGTGTTATGTCCCTACTGTATCCCTCTTGTTTTCCAATCAGATTCCACTTCTCATATCACTTGCATTTGCTGCAAACAAAATGGCGGCACCCAGTCAAGAAGATCTGATTGATAATCAAGATCTATTTTGTGATAAAACGGTTCTTACTTCGCGGAGTGCATCAAATCATGTGAGCACCTTGATTAAAAACATGAAAAGATTTGGAAAATATCTGATTGGAGTATGCATAGACTTGTTAGTCCAGCCAAAATATAACTCCATAATTCCATCCTTGATTGGCAAGGGTGGAACCTAGACTTTTATAGTTAACTCTGTTGCCTCGGGAAGATGATGCTTGTCATATTGTTGTATTAGCTGCCAAATGACCATCCAATGATGACAATGTGTGACCTTGTTGATTTTGTGTCATCTTTTGACACAGATTGTTGCAAACATTGAATTTTTATTCGCTTCCGACACTGTTCTAAATATCAAGCATAAGTTAATAGGCTCATTTCACTCTGTCAGTTATTAATATTATTATGATAACTTGAGGTGGCTTTTATGTCCTACGTTTGTTCCACACAGTATTGGAAAGGCTGGGGTTCCACGGCAGCTGTACCGGCTCCAAGACTGTCCCAACTCATCCAAAATAGAAGATGCCTTAATCTGTAATATCGCACCAGTAAGTATTAACACTTCAAGTTATTTTCAAGGATTTATTAGTACACGCTTCAGGTGTTATGTCCCTAAGCAAATATGAGGTCTCGTTGTCTAGTTTCTCACTTCCACTTTTTTGTATAAAATGCCAAAGATGGAAGACTACTCAAGACGTACAATAGTTCGGGCATTACTCATAAACTGTTCAATATTTTTTCATGAAACTTTGCAGGTTTGTCAGGTACATGCTGAACTGTTGCCTTTTGCTACTTAGAAATTTTTATTTTTTTATTTTTTACGTTTCCATGGCAACAAGATGAACTTAGGTTCCAAACTCTTCTTTTTTTACAATTTCCATGACAAGTTCCACCTAGGTTAAAAAAGGTAAGGGTTTGTTTAGATTTAATTATGTCATAAATTCTGCAAACAGGGGCGGGGGATATAGCCACGTTAGTGGCAAACTCTTGTTTAATTGAGTTTGCAGACAGACAAAATAGTTCTTGAATGATTTGAATCAATTTTTCTGAGGCTGCAACTTTACCCAAGCAGGATCGGCCTTTAAGGCAGCCAATACATGTAGACACTGTAGTAATGAATATTAGTTACAATGTCTTGTGTTGAATTGAGCCATTGTAATAAGGGTAATAATGTTTTTTTAATTTATGTACATGTTTACTCATGAGCTAGTAGGTGGAAAGTGTTTGAAGGATTTGCTAGGACTGCTGATCACCCTGGAACTACAGTGCATGTTCAACTCTCCTTATCATCCCAAACTGGCTCCCACAGGAGATATCGCTTGGATGAGATCAAGCGATATCTACACTGTAGATATCGCTGCAATGAAATTACATCACAATGCATTGCAGACCATTGTGACATCACTGGTTACCATGACGTCACAATCAAATGACATCACTAATGGCTCTGCTACTGAAGCTGTTAGCAGTACTTTTTACACTGAAGACACTGCTAATTACTGTCTACAAATTGAAAAAGTTGGAAGAATGATGTTGGATGATAAATAAAATCTCACCCTCGTGTCTTTTGATATCAAATATATCAACACTTGTTGATAAAAGTGGCAAATATCCTCGGCAAGCCTTGGAATTTTTCCACTTTTATCAACTCGTTTTGATATATATGATATCCAAAGACACTTGGGTGAGATTCTCTATTTCTTTCCAGGGGGCACGGGTGGCCCAGTCGTCTAAGGCGCCACGATTCGCTGTGCAGAGTTGTGCCCCCTGGACACGCCAGAAACCTATGATTGTGGGTTCGAATCCCGGCTCACCCTGATTATGTTTCTAGGTTTGTCAGCACCATACCCGTGCTCGTGGATTTCACCAAAGTGGTAAACGTCTGAGACCTGCATCACTTCGGGCTTTCCTCCCACATCAAGCTGACACGCTGTGATATAACTGGAATAATGTTAAAAGTGGCGTTAAACCCAACTCACTCACTCACTCACTCTATTTCTTTCCAGGAAGTTATTCCTCTACCTCACAGTGGTCACAAAGGCAGCATTGTAACGATCACCTCAAACCGCTGGCTCCAGCGCCATGATCTACGCACAGGAGCAATTCTAGAGGCGGTCTACCTCTCACCTAACAAAAAATTCAGGTGTGTTTTTGCCTCGATGTTGTCTCATTCTTTACCTTCAGTGTTTTTAGAAATGTATATGAAAAAACTGTTCAGTAAAGAGTCAGACATGGATGTTTACATGAATGTGTTGCTGATATCTGTTCATATCCAGTGTTCCTGTTTACCGGTAATTACCAGTTTTTAATCGGTAACATTGGGCCTGGACCGGTAATTCATGTGACTGTCATTCCCTTTGGACAGCAAATAAAGTACCTTACAAATCTTTGCCAATTGAACAAAAAATCTGCGATAATCAATAAAGATTATATTTCAAAGTCAGCTTGTCCTTGATCATCAGGGTTTGTCTATTTTAATGCAAGCAAATAACATTTCACTTTACTTTCATGGTTAAAAATCTATTTTTAGAGACTTAATCTCAAACAAAAATGGAGGTTGAAAATAATGTTGAAAGAAGGGAAACCAGGTAAATTTCACGAGTTTTTCTATTTCTTCAAATTTGAAACTGACAAAGATTGGAGGGGACTGCCAGGAGGAACACTGATATCCTAACATGTAGGGGTGATGGTGTGGTGATCTGGGTTCACCTGCCCATGTTAGAACACTGTGGGAAGCCTTGGTATGTCCTGGCATGATGTCGGGGTGGTGGTGGTGTAGCCATGAGTTTATAGGTTGGGAATGTAGATTTACCATCTGTAAACTTCAATCTAAAGCAAATAGTACAGCTTCCTGCTCCCCAGCCGCGTCATACCAAAAGACGTTAAAAGATGGTACTTGTTGTTACCCTGTCTGGCGCTCGGCATTAAGGGGCTAAAACAAGGACTGGTCGGCTCGGAGTCAGTATACTGTGTCTGAGTGGGGTATTCATGTTAAACTGCGGCATAGTATCTCAGTGGGCTAGCACTATAAATCGGCATCAGTCCGGACTAGTACAAGCAGCCACACACACACATACAGGTGCATGCACGTCGCTATATAAGTGCAATAATCTTGGACGCGACTTTAAACCCCATTTCACCTCACCTCACCTCCTGCTGAGTGAGTGAGTATGGTTTTACATCGCTTTTAGCAATATTCCAGCAATATCATGGCGGGGGACACCAGAAATGGGCTTCACACATTGTACCCATGTAAGGAATCGAACCTGGGTCTTCGGCGTGACTAGTGAACGCTTTAACCACTAGGCTACCCGACCGCCCCCTTTCTCCTTGAGATGCTTGAGTCTTGGCTAATTAGCTAATTACATATGGCAGGATGTTGCTGAATTATTGCTAAAAGCAGTGTTAAACGACACTCACTCATTCACTGTCTCACTATAAGGCCACACAGGTTTGGATTTGCCTGTCATGGTTCAATGCGACGTTCACCGATCCTTGACATTTCGCCCCTTCACACAACTGAAAATATTAGGCTCAACAGATGACACAGTTCTAAAACTTTCCTCAAATTAGGGTTGCAAACTTAGATTTGATACCTGTAAATGTTTTTAAGAAAGTAACCTCATGCAGCAGGAAGCTGTGATGTTCACTTTAGATTGAAATTTAAAAAAATTGAAAATTCAACCTATAAATTGAAAATGCACTAGGTTTATCTGCTTATTATTACACTTATTATGAGTTGATGAATTTGATCACAAGCTATGGGTATTGTGGCTCTAGACCCTCATCTTTAATATTGAAAATGATCTGCAGTTATATATGTAGTGCAGGCTGGAGTGTTTCTATGTGTAGGGAGCTTGGATGGATCAGTGAGCAGGAGAGATTCTACATCAGATCAACCCACACTACAGCTCTAGCTGTTCACAGACAGGTACATGCATGTTTATATCAAATTTCATACTTTTATTGACCAAGTTTGTTATACCTGTTTATTCACCTGAATTCGCTGAAGGGAAATGATATGTTTTTTTGAAATCGCATATCAATACTTGATAAATCTTTTTTTTACACTATGAATCATAAAAAATTTTGATTCTTATCTTTTTTAAACTCAGAAATGTGCAATGTAGATCGTGTTAGGTGGGCAGAGCATGTATATTGTTTTGTTGGTCATCTACCACCTACGACTCGACCTTTGTTAAACCGCTGATCATATATAACGCCCATAAATTATTTGGACCCTGAAGGTAGCGTTGTTAACACTGTTAAACATTTCACTATGTAGAGTTATGTACCTTACCCGAGCCAGGATCTTCTGCCCATGATAATGAAACATTTACACTTTTGGAGAGAGTTGCGGAGGATTATGTTCCTTATATTTCACAAGTGTTACCTTACCGTTGTTCACAGGGTGTATAATTAATAGATATACCCATAAGTTTCACACTATTAGCCAATACTCAAGCATCTCACGGAGAAAGAATGAAAGAGCAAGGGAAATACACCTTGCTCAAATTTGTTGACTTTTTCTTTGTAATGAGATGCAAACCTATAGTCTGGAAGGTAATTTAAGGTACCGACGTTTACTACAATATCTGTAAAACTATTGGACCTACTCCAGTCAAAGTTGGTATGAGATTATTAAACAGTCATACATAACTGGATATTACATTTAAAGACAATCAGTGAATGGATAAAAAATGAAACCCAACTTGAAAGGGTGCACGGGAATCATGCACGTTGAGACGCCCAACACTAACACCGTATTCGTGCGTGCGTGATTCCCGTGCACCCTTTCGAGTTGAGTTGATCGGTTCAACTGTGTCATATGGTAGCATTATGAGATGGCTGTTTCAATGAATGCTCGTTCCACCCGTGACGAACAGGTCTGGTTGATGAAATAAAGTGATAGCTAAATAGACAGATTTTTTATTCATGCACCGATTGTCTTTGTAATATCCAGTTATGTATGACTGTTTAATAATCTCATACCAACTTTGACTGGAGTAGGTCCGATAGTTTTTCAGATATTGTAGTAAACGTCAGTACCTTAAATTACCTGCCAGACTATACCCTTACAAGTGAAGAGATAGACCTTTTGTTCAATAGGCCAGCGGGTATAACAAAGACACCAGGGAAATGAGAGCAAGAGGTTACAACATGCTGTCGTATTTCAGGCTGGCATTCCGGTATGCATCGTCATGGTACTGGCTGTGTTCAACATTTTCCCTCTTGAGTTTGTGGGCATGCTGGAAATTGACAAAAGGGTATGTTGCTTCTCTTATTCATACGTCCTGTTCTCAGATGACTTTCTTTGATGTTCTCACTCATGATTGTATTGGATTGATAGCATGCTCAGAGGTTGATACTCTGACATAGGACAGAAGCAGATGTCAGTATTAATTCCTAAATTGGAATAAACGTTTCCCATTTAATATTGTAGATGTAGCATGTTAAATCAAACCCTGTCCTCAGGTATAATGAGTGAGTGAGTGAGTGAGTATGGTTTTACGCTGCTTTTAGCAATATTCCAGCAATATCACGGCGGGGGACACCAGAAATGGGCTTCACACATTGTACCCATGTCGTGAATCGAACCCGGGTCTTAGGCGTGACGAGCGAACGCTTTAACCACTAGGCTACCCGACCGACCCTCTCAGGTATAATGAGGGAATGCTTTAACCACTAGTGTACCTATGTACTCTTTGCTTTAGTTGCAGACTCAATGACACATAGTGTTGACTCTTGTCTTTGACAAGATTATTGTCAAAATTATTGATGGTAATTTTTCAGTACCCTATCCTGGGATTTTTAAGATTTCAAACTATTCCCTTGGCAGACAAATTGCGAAAAAATTGATATTTAATTTTATTTGCTGCGAAGAATTTTTTCATTTTATTGTACTACTGCAGTCAAATTAATGGTGTAAAACTAAGTATATAATACTATTTATTGGTCTCGTTATTGGTGAAATACAAGCCAACTACAGAGACATAATATAAGTTATTTTCTGATGTTCTCGCCATTAGTTTGCTACAATATTGCTAAAAATTGTGTAAAAGCCTACCTGCTAGCTCACTAGAAAGATGTACATGTCTGTTTGTACTGCCTGGTTCTAGGTATTCGGCAGTGACGTCACGGACGCCATGTTGTCCCAGGATCTACTCATTGTGATGCATCAGTCCGGGCATGTGCGGCTCTATAACTTCAACCACATCTTGGAGCAGGTAAATCTAAAGGAGTAAATCTTGACTGGACAAGGGTGGCTCAGATTTGTTTGTTTGTTCGTTGTTTAACGCCGCACTCAGCAATATTCAAGCTATATGATGGCGGTCTGTATGTAATCGAGTCTGGACCAGACAACCCAGTGATTGACAACATGATCATCGATCCAGGCATTTGGGATCGATGACATGCATCAACCAAGTCAGCGAGCCTGACCACCCGATCCTGTTACTTGCCTCTTTGGACAAACATAGTCGCCTCTTTCGGCAAGCATGGGTTGCTGAAGACCTATTCTACCCCGGATCTTCACAGGTCAGCTCCTTTGAGGAACCGGGATCAGTTTAAGAGCGCCGAGGGGCGGTCGGGTAGCCTAGTGGTTAAAGCATTCGCTCGTCACGCCTAGACCCGGGTTCTTATCCCGACATGGGTACAATGTGTGAAGCCAATTTCAGCGAGCCTGACCACCCGATGCTGTTAGTCGCCTCTTACGATAAGCCTAGTCGCCTTTCACTGCAAGCATGGGTTGCTGAAGACCTATTCTACCCCAGGCTGGGTGGCCCAGAGTCGCGTGAGTTGCTGCAGCTCACTGTGCAGAGTTTGACGTCCCTCAGGCATTTGGCGTCCCTCGTTTGATTGAAGGTTCGAATCCCAGATTCTTGGCCTGTCAGCACCATCGTCTGCTTGTGGGTTTCATGGAAGTGGGAAAGCTACATCACTCCAGGCAGTCCTCTCACATCAAGCTGACATGCCATAATAGAACTGAAATACTGTTCAAAGTTGTCATTAATTCAACTCACTCACTCATAGCTAGACCTATCAGAGTCAATGTTTTAATTTCAGTCATTGCTAAAACCTGTGTTCAAATTTGATATGCAAACATGTTCCGTCTAAATTGAAATTTACAAGAATCAAATGTGATGTTTGAAACCTCTAAATTGAAAAATGGTTGATTTATCTCCCAATTAACCTATCAAACCTATTGTTCATTTCCAACATAGTAGTATTTCATAAACCTGGGCCATTGCTTCTATATGTATTTACTGGTGTGAAATAAGATGTCAGCTTGTGTAGTATAGAAGCTACAAAGTGGACCTGAGAGAGAAGATCCCCGGGTCAGATGCAGTATGTGGGCAGTACCCATCTGGAGTCCCCTTCAATATCCAAATAACAGGTTAGTATTCTTGTGAGGTGCTCTGTACCCTTGTAGGGATTCCAAGACAGATTAATTGTCTAAATCTCCATGCATATAGCTGACTCAAGTATTGGGCAGTCCTTACATTTTGATCAGAATTACTCATATTGTTTGGTAAATGTAAAAATTACCCAACATTAAGATTCATTATCACCAAAACCAGTGAAGATTCCGGGGTAGAATAGGTCTTCAGCAACCCATGCTTGCCGTAAAAGGCGACTATGCTTGTCGTAAAAGGCGACTAACGGGATCGGGTGGTCAGGCTCGCTGACTTGGTTGATGCATGTCATCGTATCCCAATTGAGTAGATCCATGCTCATGATATTAATCACTGGATTGTCTGGTCCAGACTCGATTATTTACAGACCACCGTCATATAGCTGGAATATTGCTGGGTGCGGCGTTAAACAACAAACCAACAACAACAACAATATTATCACCAAATTCGCTTCCAGAAAGCCTGACGCCATTGTTTGAGACGCGCTGCTCGGAGCACAACGTCCAGATTGGTGGGTTTCCGTGGCACTACATCATCATCCCCCATGGGTGTTACGGCTGGTTCCAGGTGCACTCTTTAGAGACGGACAAAATGGTATGTTGACGGCCATGGGTCAAGCATTACACACTCGCTGCCATCTTGTTTTCGGTCATCTTCCCCAGACAAGGGGTTAACTGACTATAAAAGTCCAGTTTCCACCCTTGCCGAACTAGGCTGGTATTATGGAGTTACATTTTGGCTGGTCTAACAAGTCTATACATAGTCCAATCAAAAACACGCACCCCAAAATTGAAATCCGGTTTGTAAACTGTCGTGCAGATTTCGGTCGATTGCAGGATTTGCAAAGCATGTGCACCACCAACTCGTTGTCAGCAGATATTTTCCAAATCTTATCATGTGTTTAATCAAGGTGCTCACGTGATTTTATGCATTTCGCGATGTAAGACCCGTTTTATCACAATATAGATATTGATTATCGATCAGATCGTCCTGACTGGGCGCAACCATTTTGTGTGAAGCAAACACAAGTGATACGAGAATCTGATTGGTCCTTAGGAGAGGCTTAGAAGGGACATAACTTGTAATAGCCACTGGTGGCGCTACAATTGAGCCCAGTAATTCCAGCCTAGTTCGGCAAGGGTGGAAACTGGACTTTGAAAGTCAGTTAACTCTCTTGCCTCGGGAAGATGGTTTTCAGCTGAGGCACCAGACCTCGGCCTAATGAACTCTGCAGTTGAGAGAGAATCTGCCTCTACAGTAAACAGTGTCATTAATAATCAATCATGCTGACATAGAAACTAGTACTTTCAGGAAATGAGAGTTATCTCCCCTAAATCTACACATTTTGTTCATAATTTGTTGGAATATTGTTTTGCGACTGGTTTATCAAGTCCTTTTAGTATTTATTTTTTAGTAGCTAGATTTCCTCTATTTCATATGTCAGTGAGAGTGTATTGTTGAATGATTTATGTAATCATTAAAGCATTGACTTGTTAAAAACTCTGTGCACACCAGCTTTTACGTTTATACCTCCATAAACGCGAAAACATATTTTAGTCAATTCTTATAATAATAAGTCAACAATAATAACTTCCCAGACTGCTTAATTAATCATTAACAAAAATATTTGAGGCCTATAGATAAAATCAGTGATGTCATTCAAGGCAAGAGTGCAATTCAAGCCCCGCCCACCCTATTATCAGCCAATCAGGAAACAGTAGACTGCTAGTGGGCATGACCTAATATTTTTAAGTTTACTGCAACATGAATGCCAAAAATATGGCTTGGTTATAGGGCTGGGACGAGTCTGAATTTACTACCCGGGTATCCGACCCCCTATTACCCGACCCTACCCAGGTACCCACTGCAGGTCTCAAGAGTTGGGAACAAAATGTCTGATTGGGAATTGTTTTGCCGCAGCACTGGCAAAACTATTTAGATACATGTATCAAACGATCTGATCATGCGTACACGGAAGTTGACTGAAGTTTGATCTTTACTCAAACATATGCAAGTCAAAAGGAATGTGTGTATCATCAGAAAGCAATGTGAACATTAGCAACATGTAGTGTAACCACTGAGCTATAGTAAACAATATATCACTTGACTAACCATGGGTCGGGGTATTCCTGTGGGTACCCGGGTCAAGCTTAGGACCCACCCGGCCCGATTACCCGAGTTACCCATCCCAGCCCTACTTGGTTAGCCAATCAAATGTCATGGAATCACTTGCAATTTATTTATTCATCAATTAAGTCGACAAAGTGTCTCACTAAGTTCTTATCTTTTCCAAAGGCAAAAAATGGAGAAGTGAATGTGAACAGTTATGGTATTGAGCTGGACAAGGCTGTGTTCCATGGGGACGAGTCAGGGCGGGTGCTGCACATCTCGGAAGACACTGTCAGGTAAGTTGTGACATTGTGCTTAGCACCCAAAACCAATTTCTTTATAAAAAAATCCTTTGAAGATATAATCATGACTGTTCTTGGAAAAGCAGCCTTTACTTCTATCCTGGGGGGCACGGGTGGCCCAGTCGTCTAAGGCACTGCGATTCGCTGTGCAGAGTTGCGTCCCTTGGGCACGCCAGAAACCTATGATTATGATCGCCCCGATTATGTTTCTAGGTTTGTCAGCACCATACCCATGCCCGTGGGTTTCACCGAAGGGGTAAACGTCTGAGACCTGCATCACTTTGGGCTTTCCTCCCACATTAAAACACATCTGTGACATCATTCTATTGTTTGAACGCTCCATTATTTTTCAGGAATTGAGAGTTGCTTGTCAACTGTACATTATTTTGAAGCATCATTTGAATTTTCAAATATTTTCAACTACAGAATATTTTGTCAAAGTGTAAAACTAGGGATGAGTTTTAAGTAGGGGAATATCCTCTACTGAAGCTGACATACTGTGATATAACTGGAATACTGTTAAAAGCGGCGTTAAACCCAACTCACTCACTCACTACTTCTACCCTGACCCTGGGGATCCCAGGTGGAAATACAAGTGTAAATTCAAAGGTTTGTGGCCTCAGTGAACAACATTTGCAATCAAAATTGTTTTACATAACCACCTCAATATTACCGGCTTTGACTACATTACATTTCGTGCAGTTCATTGTTTGTTATCCCTACAGAAGTCTTCTTTTTAGCCTCCATTAAGGCCTCATCGGCGGCAATCACTTTGTCGATACTGTAAAAACACTCTTCCCCACAGGTGTGATTTGAGTTTTGGGGAAAGATAAAAGTAACAAATAAAATACAAAAACAAAATCTTGCTCCCTACTCATTCAGTTCTTAAATAAGTCATGCGAAACAAGTATTTTTTAACTGGCCTTTACTGACTGTCACCAAATACTATTCACTCACTTTAAATCTCCACATGGGTAGACTGTCTGGCGCTTGGCATTAAGGGGATAAAACAAGGACTGGTCGGCTTGGAGTCAGTATACTGTGTCTGAGTGGGGGTATTCATGTTAAACTGCAGCATGGTATCTCAGTGTGCTAGCACTTTAAATCGGCATCAGTCCGGACTAGTACAAGCAGCCACACACACACGTGCATGCACGTCGCTATATAAGTGCAATAATCTTGGACGTGACGTTAAACCCAATTTCACCTCACCTCACCACATGGGTAGAATGTGTGATTATTGCTAAAAGTGGCAAAAAACTGGGGTCACTCACTTTGAATCTAAATGATTTCTCCAATGGATGTTTCAGAGTGCTGCAGTTGTCCTGCCAGGATTCCGGCTGTGAGACGGTTGTACGTGAGGTGTTTTCTATACACCCAAACGGGAACACTCACAAGGTAGGGGGTTCCGACATTTAGTACTGTCCACTTCACCATGATGTGCAGGAAACCTGTCGACCATCTGTCTTGATTAGGATTTCACTATTATTCCATATGAAAATTCTTCCCTGTCACCATGATCAAAAGTTGAGTAGTATGTTTTCAATGCTTGAATGTTATTTGGTTTCCAAGACAGAACCTATCATTAAGTGTCAAACGTCTGCGTAAAATGGGGGCATTCACCGAGTATGCATGCAACTTTGCAAGAGCTGCCGTGTGTATTCAGGTTGACAGAGGAATGTTGTGTATACCAACCTGTGAAGTAGGGCTGGGATGGGTAACTTGGGTATCCGGGTCGGTAGGGTACCGATTAGGGCCCGGGTACCCACAGGACTACCCGGACCCCTGGTTAGTCACGTGATATATTGTTTACTGACAAAAAATATCAAGAAATCTATGGTTACACTACAAGTCACTAATGTTTGCATTTCTTTCTGACTATGCACCCATTCCTTCTGATTTTTCATATGGTTGAATAAAGATATAACTTAATTCAGCTTCAGTGTATGAATGACCAGATTGTTTAATACATGTATCTAAATACGTTTTGCCAGGGCTACGCTAAAAGTGTTCCAAGTCGGACATTTTGAGACATCTCCTGAGACCTACAGTGGGTACCCGGGTAGGGTCGGGTAATAGGGGGGTGGGTACCCGGATAGTAAATTTGGACTCGTCCCAGCCCTACCGTGAAGTATTGATGATATGTCATGAAGACCTTGTTGCTGTATTTTTGTAAGAGACTGAATGCTCTGACCATGCTGTGTCATGTTGTGCTCCTTGCAGAAGGAAACTACACAGAGAACAGTGACATCATCAGGCCGAAGTATTAAGAAGAGGGTGATCCTGGACGAAGTGTCAGAGTGCTCTCCCTTGGTGAGTTGTGCACTTCTGTGAAATTCACACATGTGAGGCTTAAAAAAAGAAAAGAATTGGTTCTCAGGCAATGGTTTTTGAAAATATAGGGTATTTTTAAAAAAAATGGAAATAAAAACAAAATGTGCGTTGAACTTACCGAATGTGTACAAAATTTTAATGGGGCTTATTCAGGTTGTGCAGCAGACAATCAATGCAAAGTCTACAATCTCGCCAGGCATATTTTTCATAAATAATCTTGTCAACCACAGTGTGTTGATGCTTTGTTTTGGTATTTGAGAGCCAAGACTTTTTTTTTTCCGCCTAATACCTCTTTCTAAACATTTAGATTTTGATCACCATTTTTTTATTGGTTTTGATTTGACGGTTTCATTTCTTGTTTGATCCCATTACTGCTGATGATTCACACTCTAACCTATTCTGATAAAATGTTATTTGTATAGTATGAATCACTAAATACCCAAAGCTAGTTGACAGTATTACATATCATTTCAATGACCTCCTGACAGAGACAGACCCGAGAAATTTGGTCAAATCACGTGTCTGACACTGACCTTGAATAATGACTTGTCCTTTTTTTTGCATAATGACCTCGCCAAGAGTAATTATTTTTGTTGAATGTTTTATTGTTTCCAGACAATCCATGATGTTGACTATGAAAACGAACTGGATGTCCTTGTTGTCAGTGCCATTTCCCACAATCCTGAGGGTCCTGTTGGACATGTTGGTTACTATGACAACCTGACAGGAGAGCTTCTGCGAGAATTCAGTTTGGAGGAGCCAGCTAAGGAGGTAACACATTTACACAATGAACATTTTTTTATGCATTACATGTGGTATTATTGTAATGTTCTGCCCAAATACAGTAATATTTATGGATTCATTCATCTGTGCATTCAGTAAAATCAAGACAAAGTAGCTTGCGAGAACTTTGAGAAAAACTCTTTTCATTTTACGGAAAAGTAATAGAACCCGTGCTCATTTTTTGTGCGAGTGTTCATTTAATATGAACCCAATTTTTTAGGTAGCTCCTTTTTTGTGAAACTGCTCAAAGATTCTAAAGAAATAAAATAATGATAATGAAGTTACCATATTGGTTTTGTTGTATTTGAACAATATATATTGAAATGAAACAATTTCGGAAATAATTCAACAATTCCATCAACAATGTTTACATTATCGATGAAAAAATATAGTTATTATACTTTTAATTCTGTTTGTTTATTTGTTGTTTAATGCCGCCCTCAGCAATATTCCAGCTATATGATATCTGTAAATAATCGAGTCTGGACCAGACAATCCATTGATTGACATCATGAGCATCAATCCACGCAATTCAGCGAGCCTGACCACCCGATCCTGTTAGTCGCCTCGTATGACTTTTAATTCTAGTTCATGCAGAATTAGACAATGTATATTTCAGTTAAGTCATTTCATTAAAATGTTCATATTTTATTAATAATTTTTTTTTACTGGATAAAATATCAAAATCACTCATAGAGAATTCACTAAATTCCCAATAAGCAAGTTCATGTGCTGTTGCAGTACTACGAGCACAGGATCTTTGTGGATGCGGACACCATCGTGCAGAGGGTGAAGGTCACTCCGGGCAAGTTCATCTGCATTGTCTACAAGCTATTCGGGGTGGCTGATGATGACAAGGAGAAAACATCAAAGAGGCAACAGAAGGATGTTGCCATTAGTTCGAGATCCAGCCGGAGAACACGACAGTCACGGAGTGCAAGATACAACTTGTGAAGCCGAGACGAAGATCAGTACTGCAGTATTTGAAGACTGGTTAGGACTGGGGGCGGTCGGGTAGCCTAATGGTTAAAGCGTTCGCTCGTCACCCCGAAGACCCGGGTTCGATTCCCGACATGGGTACAATGTGTGAAGCCCATTTCTGCTGTCCCCCGCCGTGATATTGCTGGAATATTGCTAAAAGCGGCGTAAAAACCATACTCACTCACTGGTTATGACTGAGGTTATGGAAAAAAACTAACATCTTCACTTATTTTCTGAGCGTGAAGATGTGATTGTTGTCAATGCTAAAGCTGCACCAAGCATGCCTGAATTCTGGTCAAACGAACCAGTGGATGATTGTATGAACAACCATCCATTAACCACCCAATCCTAACCAGGAAGTTCTTTCAAGAACTGTGGCATGATGGGGGCCTGCCTCGGAATCCTCAAGGGATGTTTTTTTGTTGTTAACTTGAACCAAGCTGACTATGCACATAACAGCGCCACATCTCAGTCCGGACTTATGCACATCAACACATTTGGGACGACTCACTCCTTATTTCAGAAAAAAACATCCATGTACATAATTTTGTATGGTAAAGACATATTTTCAAACCAGTTTTCTGTGATTATTTCAGTGTCTAATTAACAAGGGCTGTATTAGCACTCCCTGACCATGACAAAGAAGAAAAAGGTGTCAACTTCAAGATAGGCATGGGGTCATGGGTGGCCTAGTTGTCTAAGGCGCCACGATTCCCTGTGTAGAGTTGCGTCCTTTGGGCATGCCAGAAACCTGAGGTTGTGGGTTCGAATCCTGGTTCGCCCCGATTATGTTTCTAGGTGTGTCAGCACCATACCTGTGCTCATGGGTTTCACCGAAGTGGTATACGTCTGAGATCTGCATCACTTCGGGCTTTCCTCCCACATTAAGCTGACATGCTGGAAGTTGGGGGGAGAGAGATCAGCCATTTGTACAATTGTGAATTCCCATCACCCGAGAATACTTCCAACCAAATATGGTTGATATCTGTCTCTTAGTTCCAGAAAGGGGAGGGTGGGGGTGTCAGCCTTACCATTAGTACAATTTTGAATCCTCACCATTGGAGAATGCTTCCAACCAAATATGGTTGATATCTGTCTCTTAGTTCCAGAGAAAAAGTTGTTTAAAGCAATATTGTCAAGTCTGAATGTAACAGACATCATGAGCAACATACCAAGCCATTGGGGTAGGATGACACACAGTAAACAAAGTCATTAAGTCGCCTCTTACAACCAGCATAGGCTGCTGGGGACCAATTCAAACCATGGGACAGAAAGAGCAATGATCCAGGGTATGATTATACATAACCATGTCACACCTATCTCTCATGAGGTGCTGGGAGTCTATCCCAGAATCAACAGCATAATGTGACCATTTAACACTAGAACTCTCCTGGCGAAGCTGCCATTTAATAAAGTGCAGCATTGTGGGCATGGCACAATATAAATATTATTATAAAGTGATGGTTCATGTGCAATCTACAAAGTTCGCAACTCCTTAAAATCAGCTCTTTTCAAAAGATTATTATCATGCCAAGTTCCTTCTCGGAGTTGCATGAATTGGGCCTTGACAAAGAACATTGGCTTTACCTGTTGTTTTTGTGTTTTTTTGGTATGTAAATAATCAGGTCTGAACCAGACAATCCAGTAATTGACACGATTGGTTGGTTGGTTGGTTTGTTGTTTTACGCCGCACCCAGCAATATTCCACCTATATGACAGTGGTCTGTAAATAATCAAGTCTGGACAAGACAATCCAGTGATTGATATCATGAGCATCGACCCGAGCAATTGGGATCAATGACATGCATCAACCAAGTCAGCAAGCCTGACCACCAGATCCCATTATTCTTTCTTATGAGGTGAGGTGAGATGAAATTTGGTTTAACGTTGCATCCAACATTATTGCGACGTACATGCACGTGTGTGTGGCTGCTTGTACTAGTCCGGACTGATGCCCACTAAGATACCATGCCGCAGTTTAACATGAATACCCCACTCAGACACAGTATACGGACTCCGGGCCGACCAGTCCTTGTTTTAGCCCCTTAATGCCGAGCGCCAGACAGGGTAACAACAAGTTCCATCTTTTAACGTCCTTTGGAATGACGCGAACAGGGATGCAAAGCTCAACCTTCCGCTTTCCGGGACGGACGCTCTACCACAAGACCACGGAGGCGGTCGTTGCCTCTTATGACAAGCATGAGTTGCTGAAGACTATTTCTGTTCTACATTCAGAGCTTCATGGGGGGTTGGATATTCAGCAGCACATGTGTCTTAGGGCAATATCATGTGCAGAAGCCTCAGGTCTGCCATTAACAAGGGAGGGCAGTTGAACAGATCTCAGGCTTTCGGCAATTGATAATGCCCTGAAAAATTGTGTAACCTTTATCAAAGCTAAAATGCAGAGATATTGTCCTTGGCATAATATTCCTGAACCAACCCAATCGAACATTTGTTGTTATTCACATGAAGAACACAACAGAAGTCAGTGTGTCACTGGCTTAAAAACACATCATCAACAATGGATTACATCACAAGTTGCATGATCAAGTGTTGAAATAAAACAACTGTTTACCCATTCATGTGAACACACCTAATAATTTATAATGATTTCAAAAGGGCCAAAAACATAAGACACAACATAAAGCCTTCATTATGTACAGAATTGGTGTTTATTTACAATGCCATGAAATCCTACAAGAACTACAATAAAGCCTCCTCATTTCGTATGTACTCTCCCACATCTGCTTGGTGGAAGGCCACGATGGTCATCGGATCACAATGACGACAGTCCTGTGTCGACTTTGCTGCCACACCAAACCCCTGCAACAGAACAGACCAAGTGTCAAACTCTTTTCCCGAAGTTTTAATGACCGTTGTGGGTCACTGGCTCATGACAACTGGTATTTCCTTGCTTGTTTCTTAATGCTGCATTCATCAATAGTCCCCTGCCCTGTAATAAACAAGTCAATCCATCCACGACATTGGGGTATCATGACAATCTCATTAAAATCAGACCTTATTTCTCGCTACCGCTAAACAAAGATCTGAAGACATCCCATTAGGGGTCACGTCAGAAAGACCTTTCATATGACCAATCAGTGCGTCGCTTACCGGATTATGAAAGTGACAGTCGGAATGTGATTTCTAATCATGCAATCTCGAAAACTTTAATATGGGGTATTCCGAACAATAGTTATGGGTTTAACGACTGAATCCTTACAATCTAGACCATCTATTAGCCATTCCAGAATGTTTTTTTGTTCAGGTTTCAAATTTATAATCGAGAATTTGTCAAAATATGTTTCGAAGCGTAGTCCCCAATTTGAAATTTGTGCCGTAAAGCACGAGAAAGCTGCCTTCTGATTGGTCATTCCATTGGTCGGTCAAAGTTCGCGCAAGGTAGGTCTGACGTGACCCGTAATTGGATGTCCTTAGATCTTTGTTTAGCGGTAGCGAGAACTAAGATCTGATTTTAATGAGATTGGGTATGATGACACACAATCAACTTAGTCCTTGAGTCTGAGAGAGAATGTAGTTGAAGTCTGCAATATTCCAGCCAGTAATATTAACCAGAGAATTGAGTCAGGACAAGGAAAAACCAACAGAAAATATCAGCAATAATCTATGTCATCAGGTCTTAATAAGACACAATCGGCACTGATTTAATCAAATTGCAAATTAGCTGTGCCACATGCAAACCCGACAAAATGAAAAAGCATGTTTCATTATTGTCGTTCACAGTTGATGAACTTTACTTTTTCAGCAACTGGAATAACCACTTGTCATCTTCTAAACCTGGGTCTTACCAAGGGGAGATCACTCATGCTGTACACGACCAAGCCCTGGTACTGTGATGTGTTCTCTGTTATCCTCCCGAGTCCGGACTTCATCACATGGTGGCCATACAGAAACTGCTGCTCAGCACTCGGCTTCAGCCACACCTTGAACTGAAACACCACATACTTGAATGAGAGTAACCAGAGATGGGACCACTGTACATACACAACACAACACAAACAACCCCAGCATTGAAAATAGTGAACACTTGTCAAAAGCAATACCCCACCAGATAATTTGAGTTGTCCTTTGAGGATTGAGCAAGGGAAATGTATCATAATTTGTTTATGTATTGCCTGCCATTATTTGAAAAAGTGTTCAGAAAAATGGGTGTTTCTCTGCCAAGGTGAGTGAGTGAGTTGGGTTTAACTCACCTTTTAACAGTATTTCAATTATTTCACGGTGTGTGAGGTTAATGTGGGAGGAAAGCCTGTAGTGATGCAGGTCTTCGGGGTTTACCACATGGGTAATTGGGTATGGTGCTGACAAACCAAGAAACAAAATCGGGGTGAACCAGGATTCGAACCCACAATCATCGGTTTCTGGCTTGTCCAAGGGATACAACTCTGCACAGCGAATTGTGGCGCCTTAGACGACTGGGCCACCCATGCCCCCTCTGCCTAGGTGAAACAGTAAATGGTGACACCCGGAGAACTATAAACTTTACAACCTACAAGAACTTTCCATCAATATTTTACTATGAGAAAAGCCATAACTAGTATGGCACTGACAAACACTGAGACATTATCATGGCAAACCAGAATTTGAATCAACAGTCATAGGTTTCAGATGTGCCCAAGGGATGTAACTCTGCACAGCACATTGGCGTGCCCCAGACAACCGTGATACCTTGCCCCCATCATGTCCAATTCTTCACCTTAGAAATGATGGTAATAGATTTAATATGGTGCTAAGTAATCTATAGTTAGTCTTCTACCATACCCTAAAGACAACATTAGCACATGTCACTATATACAGTCTAATACTGTCAGCAGAATGTGTGGTCTATTGTGAACAAACCCTTACCTTAGCATATGGCGCTATATAATCTAATGCTGTTATGTGTAATCTGAAACTTCCAGACTTGGTGAACTTTCCAAAACAGGTTCCCATGGAGATGAGATTCTCCCTTGACACACATCCTGCTTTCTTCATCAACTCTTCCCTGTTGAAATATGTAGAATTAGTATATAACCTGAGGTATCAGTGCTGCTAGAAATGTACCAATTGCTTTACCTTTGTCACAATCAGCAATCATTATTGACCACAATTTCACAACATGAACAAGCTTGGACCACGAGCACAATGAATGGCAGACTCTTGACATCACATTCATAATCATTGGCAATTAAATATGTCACAACTTACAAAATGTATTTTATTAGAGTAAAAATATCATTAATACTTATCCTGACTCAAACACATGAGTGAGAGAGTGGCGATAAATGGAAAATGGACATCAAGTCTTTAAAAGGCATTTTAGAAGTGATACACATAAGGAAGAGAATTTATGGATGTCAACTTCTTTATTATGAGGAACACGACGTTTCGGAGTATATACTTACTCCTTTATCAGAGGAATAAATTATATGGGGCAGAGAATATATACATGTTCCTTAAGAACAACAAAAGTAATAAGTTAAGAAAGGAGGAAACTTAACAAGGGAAGACAACAGATAACTGGCGCTGATAGGTGATTAGAAATGGACATTTAACATGGTGGGTTTGTTGGTTGGTTTGTTGTTTAACGCCGCACTCAGCAATATTCCAGCTATATGACGGCGGTCTGTAAATAATCGAGTCTGGACCAGACAATCAAGTGATTAATGTCATGAGCATCGATCCATGCAATTGGGATCGATGACATGCATCAACCAAGTCAGCGAGCCTGACCACCCGATCCCGTTAGTCGGCTTTTACGACAAGAATAGTCACCTTTTTGGGCAAGCATGGGTTGCTGAAGACCTATTCTACCCCGGAATCTTCACGGGTCTAACATGGTGGGGAAAAAGAGGGAATTGCAGTATATTAGTCTTATTACCTGACATAGAAAACACGGTCTCTGTGCAGTCGAAAGCAATATGCTCCATCTGGTCGATCAAGCAGCAGCCTTATATTCTCACCAATACTGTAAGAATGAAAGATGAATATTGTGATTTACAGACTACTTGTGTCAGAATGCAAAGATGAATATTGTGATTTACAGACTACTTGTGTCAGAATGCAAAGATTTATATTGTGATTTACAGACTACTTGTGTCAGAATGCAAAGATGATCAAGTTTATATCATTTTCCATCCGGCGACATTTCAATTGGCGAGGGGGCCAAGTGGAAGAAGTCTTGGATAGCAAGGGGTAATCCCCTTGTTGAATCCTCACATTCAAGTGGATCACTGGATGATGCTTACTTTAACATTTCACCTTGCAAATTCAGCTGCGTGTGTAAATGTGTATGTACAATTATGTAGTTGTCGAGTTCGACGTCTGATGCATGGAGCCGTTTTCAGTTCGCGCCATATCGGATCATTCCTCGCCACTCGGTATCTTGTATATTATAGAATGGGACGAGTGTGCCAAATGGCATCGAGATCATTTGTAAGTGTCGATAGACTAAAGTCACGAGACACCATGCCTAACCGTAACCTTCGTAAGGGTCCTTCACCTATTTGACCCTTTTCATTCAGTTCCGATAACTTTGTAGGCATGACAAGGTAAATTTGTACTTTGTTTCACAGTGTGGACGTAGCTCAGTCGGTTAGCTGTTGGGCTAACAATCCGAAGGTCGCGAGTTCGCGTCCGACGGAATCTCACAAAAACTGGTTGCTTGTCTTTGAGACATGTGACCTACGGCAGAGACCGCCCTCGCGAGAAGTTGTGGTACTGTATTCTAAAGGTGCTCCGTTTTATCATATGTTTATAGGGGTATTTTCAGTGGACATTGTTTAATTCGGTGAGTTGGCCTCGTTTCATCATTTTCCATTTATATAGTATACTGACACTGGTGTGACCATATATCTTATATCTACTATGTTTTACGTTTTAAGTAGCCGTGAATTTGCAGACGATCGGGGAATTGTAACTGGCAAACTAAGGATATCCCCAAGCGTTATTATATACTCAGTTTTTAATAAAGTATTATGACGTTAAATGTCTATACCACAATAAAATACGTACTATTTGGACAATTTCTGAAAGAAAGTCTTGGTTTCTTCGTCAGTCAGAGGTCTCATCTCTCTTGTTTAGATAGGAAGTTCGTTCCACGTGTTGATGTTTATGAATTTGCGCATGCGTCAAATATATTCGAAAATTAGACATATATCTGAAACGGAAAATAAGATCGATATCAAAATGACGTGCAGGTTTATAAAAACGGTGTTATATATTGGCTTACTACTTCATATTGATAGTGATAATCAAATACGGAAGGTCACCATATCTATTCAACATAAGTCAATAGCAAATAAAATCATTTTCCGTTCCATAAAAATAGCAAACATTCCATGTACGCATGCGCAATTTTTATACTTCCGTTGCCATGGGATTGTATACATGATGGCGGCAAAAGTAGCCGAATCCTACTGTCAAAGATGCTACTATCTGTCATTGTGGCATTAAGAATATGGCCACTGAATCTGTCTTGCCAAAGACAACTTCTGAATTCTTATATGCAAATGGAAAGAGCAACATTTGGTTGGTGGAGAAATCGTCAACTTCACTGATAGAGTTGAAGCTCCATTCACAGAGTCAAGATATTTTGTCCTTGTCGTCGGACACACCTTCTCACGGGGCACCTAGTCAACACAAAAACGACGCAGGCGATTCAGCAAGTCTATTTCCAGCAATATTTGACATAAAGAAATCTAGCAAGAGCAAGGGAAGCTCGTTTGGTCTGCTGTCAGATGGATTTTACAACGACAAAGATGAGTGTTTAGCAAATGTTCGACCGGGTAGTGCAGTGTCGAATGAGATGTCATCCAGTTTTAAGTCTCAGAAAGAATCAGAGGAAGGCAGACACAGTGGCAAAGATCTTACATCAAAATCACATAAATGTAAGTTTCATGATAGGAGATGCAAGTTTGTGAAACGCGATAGTAGATGCAAATCTGAAGTGTGATGTAGCTTATATCATATATGTTGCATCACAGTCTGCTGGGATGACTATTTTTGGCCTACTTTTAGAATACAGTGTCACAATACCCTATGACATAATTTGAAGTATTTTGTTGCCAGTCACACAGATTAAACATCGAGTGTGCACTATAAGCTCCTCTCAGTGATCTATCATCTCCTACATGCATTATCATTGAATAAGCCCAGAGATATTGGGAATTTTGAATATTTGTTTACTAAATATAGCCAGTGGCTGTACATTTTATAATAATAAATTTTTTTGAAAGCACTTTTATTATCAATATATTTTTTATTTCGTTTTTTTTCTCGTAATTCAAGAGGCTAAAATGATTATAAATGGGAACTAATATACATATATTATTTTTGGGACTCATTAATTTCATTATTATGCACAGGAATGCAGTTTATCAGGTATATTATATTGGCGCTGAACACATCCAAATGTCGCCGGTGTTTGGGTTGGTTACCCCAAACTCTATCCTTGCCTTTGGATCCCTATTACGATCTATCAACCCTAGCTTTATGATCGTTAGGGTTAGTTACCCCTTTTGTTGCTATTATATATTCTATTAGCAGCTCCTAATATTCTTCACACAAAACGTCGAGAAATCAGGATGAAGTGGTTTAGTGTCAAATGTTTTGGCTACTGGAAACTGTCCTGGAACATTCACACCAGCCATTTTCACCCGCTACATTTTTTCAGTACTGATTCAAAAGCGGACTCATCCTTATGTTAGTCTCTGCCCATGCTTATGCCTCCCTTATTCCTTACTAGTACCCACATTATCCTTACCTGCTTACAGTCTTCCCTACCACACTTTTGTCACAAAAATGACCTGATGAATGATTAAATACCTTGATATTCATGCGTATCCGCGAGTTTGACATCAGACGCCCTGAGTCGATTTCAGTTCACGTCATATCGGCTCATTCCTCACCACTCGGTATCTTGTAGTACAATTATGATGTATTGGCAGGCTATCAAAAACTAGAAATTTCCCTTGTCTTAAATATTGATGTACTGGTAATGATGTGATGTTTTGTCCAATACAATATTTAATATTTAATGATCAGGTCCTGATGATATGCAGATCTTGCTGAATCAGTTGTAGATTAAAGTATTTTTGATTTAATTTACGAAAGGTCAGAATGAGATCTTGATATTACTTTCGAAACGACACTTTAGTGGCGAATAGGTCCAGCGTAGTGATGGGTATTGGCGAATACAATACATTTCCGCACACCTCTTGTCCAGGGTATTTATCATAATAGAATGGAGAAATGATACGTTGGATGGCAGTTCTACCACTGTCCTGCAAAGTATGAAATACATGTATGCCAAAGTAACAGAAAGATTGTATCACACTTATTATTTATATTTAATAATGCCACTCAAACACCAAGGAGCTTTGAAGGATGATGATGTCCACTTACTCTGATTTCAGCTGTGAAGAAGAAAACAGGAAAATCAAGAAAGAAATCACAAGCCTCCCCAGTGCTAAAAAAGTCTCAAACCACCCTTCATCTTTCGCAGTCACCCAAGTTAACTGATGGTGCTTCAAAAATCCGGTTTCGAATCTCTGCTCAGGAAACAGCCGATCTCAATGTCCTCTCAGCACAGTGTAGGGCAGTTAAAATGCATGAACACACTGAATCCAAAATGAAACTTTCATTTGTACATAATTCATTTCATTCAAAGGAACTGGGTAATTTAACTAAACCATCACTCATTACCAAAACATACACAGTGTCTAAATCTATGAATCAAATGCCAAGATCTCAGAATTTTAAGGGAGACAACAGAACCAAATCTTGCTCAAGTACATCTCCTTCACCGATACAGCTAACCCGCAGGTCGCTAGCTCAAGCCGAGAATGTGTACCTACAACGTGTGACTAAAGTTTACCTGTCAGAGAAACATTCAGGTGTGATAAAAGATGAGGGTCTTGAAATGCCTTGTGCCCCACCTGCCACGCCCACTCCAGGTGAGACCAATGTTTGAGACCCGTGAAGTTCCGGGGTAAATAGGTCTTCAGCATGTTCAGCAACCCATGCTGGCCGTAAAAGGTGACTATGCTTGTCGTAAAAGGCGGCTAACGGGATCGGGTGGTCAGGCTCGCTGACTTGGTTGATGCATGTCATCGATCCCAAATGCGTGGATTGATGCTCATGATATCAATCACTGGATTGTCTGGTCCAGACTCGATTATTTACAGACCGCCGTCATATAGCTGGAATATTGCTGAGTGCGGCATTAAACAACAAACCAACCAATGTTTGATAGTCTTTCTCATTCTTTATTAGTAGTGTTGGAGCACTATTGATCATATGATTGGTCTGTCTGATTATTGATTACATGATCGATACTGAAATACCAACATATGGACTAGAATAATGTTAAATAGCATATTTCCCTTGCAAATTCATGGTACAATTAATAGATAATGACAAGTTAATTAACAGATGAAGGCATCTATCTGTGATCACAGTGAACATATCCAACAATCTGTCCAGCGTGTCACCTTTTCAAAGGCTAATGCTATCTAGCACTTCAGTAATAGCCAGTGTAGCCAGGTTTGAGATATCGCTGGAAAGATCTGGAGTGAGTGTGAGTGAGTAAGTTTGGTTTTACGGCACTTTTAACAGTATTCCAGTTATATCATGGTGTGTCAACTTTATGTGGGAGGAAAGCCCGAAGTGATGTTGGGGTTAATGTTTAAATTTATGACCAATAACCAGCGTCAACAGATCAATGACTTCATCCGACCTGTACCATGTTCACCTGAGCTCCAGTTCTTTCTGGGGACACGGGTGGCTCAGACGTCTAAGGCGCCGCGATTTGCTGTGCAGAGTTGCATCCCTTGGGCATGCAAGAAACCTATGGTTGTGGGTTCGAATCCCAGTTCGCCCCGATTATGTTTCTAGGCTTGTCAGCACCATACCCGTGCTCGCGGGTTTCACCGAAGGGGTAAACGTCTAAGACCTGCATCACTTCGGGCTTTCCTCCCACATTAAGCTGACATGCCGTGATATAACTGGAATACTGTTAAAAGCGGCGTTAAACCCAACTCAATCACTCAATCACTCTTTTAATGAAGGCTAAAACTATGTAGACAATTAAATGTATCACAAAAAGTATATGCCAAAAATGGATTGCATCACTGTGTGTGAATTAGTCCTGCAAGAAATTATCTGTATCATGACAGCGTGAATATAATAAAGTCTGGACAAGACAAACCAGCTCTTGATATTATGAGCAATGTCCATTGTTAACTTCTGTCTATGACCTGAGGGGCGGTCGGGTAGCCTAGTGGTTAAAGCGTTTGCTCGTCATGCCGAAGACCCAGGTTCAATTCCCAACATGGGTACAATGTGTGAAGCCCATTTCTGGTGTCCCCTGCCGTGATATTGCTGGAATATTGCTAAAAGCGGCCTAAAACAATACTCACCCACTCGCTCACTCTATGACCTGAAATATTGCACTTTTCACTTACATTTTCTCTTTCTGTTACCAGAACAGCTGAGACGCTACGAGTACGTCCCAAGTTTAACTGATATCAGAGTAAGTAAGGCTTAAAAAATAAAAGAATTGGTTCTCAGGCAATAAAAATATTGTGGGTGGGCGGTTTCTTTTTAGGGGAAGGTTTGTTCAAACTTGTATGTAACCAAATAAACAGTTGTGTAACCAAATTAAGAATTGAGTACAATCAACCTGAGAAAGGGCCTCCCAACATAAATATATTCCTTGATGAGTACAATATTGGAATACAGTATTTGACTACCATTGGACTTTGAATATTTAAGGATTTTTCTTCTTTTTAAAATGGAAATAAAAACAAAATGTTCAGCAAACTATATGATGATGCGGGCGGTGTCAGAGAACCAAGACTATTATTTTTTTAAGCCAAATGTGTAATTTTACTTGGGCTTCTTTCAGTTAGTGCAGCAGGCAATCAATGCACAGTCTACAGTCTCACCAGGCATATTTTTCATAAATAATCTCGTCAACCACAGTGCATTGATGCTTTGTTTTGGTAAGCCCTAGATATTGATCCATTTTTGAAATCCATAACATGTCTTTGCTGGTACAAAAAACAGACAGTGCGTTTTTCGATCTGTGTAAGACCTGCAGTGATGAGTTATTTCCTGAATGTTGCAGTCCCAGCGTGCTGTACGACAGAAGCTGCAGGTGATGGAGAAAAAGGAACATCAGAAAGAAGAAAAGAAGAGGGAAGAACAGGCCAAGATAGACAAGATGATGCAGAAAGATAAGGAGAGTGAACTGCGACGTCGACAGAGGCAGGAGGTATCACAACGTGTCTTCATATGTTTTGTTTGTTGCTTTAAGCATTTTGTATCAACATCAACTATGTTGGTGTCCTGCTCTCAGCATCTTCCCGAGGCAAGAGTGAACCGACTTTAAAAGTCCAGTTTCCACCCTTGCCGAACTAGGCTGGAATAACTGCGCTCGATCGTAGCGCCACCAGTGGCTATTACTAGTTATGTTCCTTCTAAGCCTCTCCTATGGACCAATCAGATTCCACCTCTCGTATCACTTGCGTTTGCTTCACACAAAATGGTGGCGCCCAGTCAGGACGATCTGATCAATGATCAAGAGCTATATTGTGATAAAACGGGTCTTACATCGCGAAATGCATCAAATCACGTGAGCACCTTGATTAAAAACGTGAAAAGGTTTGGAAAATATCTGCTGACGAGTTGGTGGTGCACATGCTTTGCAAATCCTGCAATCAACCGAAATCTGCACGGCAGTTTACGAACCGTATTTCGATTTCGTTGAGCTATTTTGATAAGACTATGCATAGACTCGTTAGTCCAGCCAAAATGTAACTCCATAATACCAATCAGTTTGGTAAGGGTGGAAACTGGACTTTTATAGTCAGTTAACTCTCTTGCCTCGGGAAGATGTGTTCTCTGAGGCTGGTGAACCCTGTGGGATTCTGGGGTAGAACTGATGGCTGGTAACCTGTGCTTGTAAAGAATGTCTTGGCTGATTGCATGTCATTGTACCCCCCCCCTCCCCCCTCGATGATTTGGGTCATGATTTCAGTCACTTGTTTTCCTGGTCTGATCATTTCCAATTATGTGTCTTTGCCTTTCACTTCCTGGTTCGGCTTATCTGCGGGTCATATAATTTTCTTTCATATTTCAATGGTCAAGTTAATACCTCGGCTTCTCTACGGGCTCGGGCTGGGACGGGTAACTCGTGTACTTGTGTTGGGTGGGTCCTGAGTAGGACCCACAGGACTGCCCAGACACTTGGTTAGTCACGTGACATATTGTTTAAATACGATAACAATAAAAGCTTATGTTTGCACTTCTTTCTGGCTGTGAACGCATTGTTTTTGACTTTTATACGTTTGACTTCAGTTGACTTCAGTGTATGCATGATCTGATCGTTTTATACGTGTATGGAATGTACCCAACTCTTGAGACCTACAGTGGGTATCTGGGTCGGGTCGGGTCGGGTAATAGTGGGGTCGAGTACCCAGGTCATAAATTTGAACCCGTCCCAGCCCTATTACTTACGATTGCATACAACAACATGACACAGTTTGGAATTTCCACTGGGATCCACTGAATGACATGCTGATGTTGGAAGGTGAGGTGAGGTGAAATGGGATGTAACGTCGCGTCCAAGATTAGTTTACTTATATAGCGACTTGTAGTGATAGTGATTTGTAAATTATCAAACTTAAACACATTCATCATAAAGAAGACAGGTTCTTTGACACACAATTTCACGTCTTCAATTTTTCATTGTACTGGTTATTTTCATTCTATCATGACTTAAAGTACCCTTGACCCAAAGCTTTGTTTTGAGTGACTTGTCAAATGAAATTACTTTGTTCTTTCATGATTAAACAAATGTCAGTGTCACCTGACCTTGACCTACATTTCTATTTATTGAAGATACATTAGCCACTGAATATTATTGATTTGTTGGAACATTGATTTTAAGCAATAAATTGAAAACTGGTTCCTAACTAGGAATGCTCGGTTATATGATAGACCCCCATATACAGATGGGGTGGTCTTATGGTGCTCACAATATCAACCACAGGTTTGTCTGGTCGGGACTCAATGATTCACAGCCTGGCGTGATACAGCTGAAATATTGCTTTGTGCAGCATTAATCAACAAAAACTGTAATACATTTTTTCTCTCTCACTTTTTCAGATTTATGCCTTGAACAAGATCATGACAGAGTTGGAGCACAAACGTTTTGTGGAGTTCTGTCTGGCAAGGGGGTTTAACTCCTGATGGGAGTTTACAGCTTTGAGTATACAGCTGGTTGTTACAGCTTTTACAGTATTTACCATTGACAGGAAGGTATAGGCAAGCTACAAATGTTTTGTCCAGCTTTGCTATGAACACCGTTTATGTTGTTTTCCCCATGACGTTTTTCATTTAGTTCAATGTTGAGGGCAGTTATGATTGAGGGATTTTTGAACTTATGAAACACCTTTAGGATTTGTGTTAAGGATGTAGGCATATTGGTCATGATAATGTTCAAGTTGTTACAGACAAATTCCAGTCGTTTTCCTGAAGTTGGTTATCTCAAGGTATGTCCAAACAGTGTTCAAAATTAAGCATGAGTCAAGAGATCATTGTCATAAGTCGTTAATTTTTTGTTTGGTGGTGTCGCTGGCTTTAAACGATATGCATAGGGGATCCAGAGATATGGGTCCCCCTCCTTTTGAAAACCAAATGTTGTATGTTGAAGGCAGGAACATTATTTGAGAGAGGATTTTGACATTTTGGAACCCTACCTTTTGAAAATGCTGGATCCGATCTTGATATTGGAGCAAGACTCAAGGACCCCAAGAATCCACTTAATGATCAACACTGCCAAAGATATCTAAAAGCTCTGGTAAAATCTTACTCTTATCGTATCTTCCACTAGGAGATGTTGAGATTCTGAAATACTGAGATACTGATTGTGTACCGAGATACATGAATACAGTGATAATGACAATATTGAGATCAAGACATGAATGAGGTATTATCATTATGAGACCTTATGCATTGCTCTTTTAGAAGTTGAATCTTTTTTTGAATGTTTTTCGTTCATTGTATCATGTTATTTACATTTTTAATACATTTTATATCCGAATATCAGAACTAAGTAAGACAGAATACAATTTTTACACTACGCTTCATAGTCATATATTTTAGAAATGTTTTACTCAAGTCTGTTCACATTCTTAATCATGTTCTAATTGATAACTGAAAATATTTTCTGTTACAATATGTATTATACACTGGAGATAATGTTACAATCTGTGATATATTTTTAAGATCTTTATATGTGCAGTTTCTTTCAAACACTGCTGTTACTTCACAGTATTATGGTAATCTGATACTGAGTTTAGTTTTACTGTGTTCTGCGGGTATTATATGTAGATCCCTCCTACCAGATGTTACGGTAGAGTGTAGGCTATGAGGTGGTTTAATGAGGGTGTTTTCAAAACAAGCATGGAAATATTTGGGAGTGATAATGTTCTAGTTGATGGCCACTTTCCTGGTTTGATTGTGTCCTGCTGGGTCTGGCTGTCCTCCACGTAATACTTGACTCAAAATACCCACCGAGCTCTGTGAGATGGAAGAATCTCCAACAGCCTGGTGTATTGCAGGGATATCATGATTCGCCGATTTAGCCTTCCGACATATGGATAAATGTTTTTGTTCTGTATAAGTTAACCAAACACACAATTTCCAATACCGTATTCGATGTAATAAGTGCCCAGCTCAGATAAATGAAATGTAAATGTTATTGACTTGAATTGACATTTAACAGGTAACATAAAACCTGCCGCCGACTGCAAATATTTTCCGCTATTTATTAAATATACCAACATTGTTAACTGAATCTCTGTGTATATATTTCAAGGAACACTGGTGTGAGGGAAGTGTTTAGACAGGTTAATGTTGCAGGTAGCGTGTTCGCTTGATGTGAACTTGGTCTGGGTTTAGTTCCTGTTGTCTATATATATATTCCTCAGGGAACCCTTGCTGTGATATGGTTGCAAAGTAACCACAGATCCATCTCACTCCATTACAGGGTAGAGTCCGTTTGTACACAGATCTACATGCCAGGAACCAGGTTCACAAACTGATCTTAGTGCTACGACTATCGTAACGGCTATACTTAACCTTATAAGTTGTAGCAGGATCACAAGGGGTACATGGGGTTTGATGCATCCCGTGTTATGTTGTATACCACGAATCTAACGAAGGACACATAAACCTAACGAGGGAAGCATCAAATCCCATGTACCCCGAGTCATCCTGAGGCAATGAATTTATCTTACCGACATTAAAAGAATTTAAGCAAATTTAAAATAGATAGAAAACAGCTGTTCGATTGAGCTGAGGTTCACTTGTGATATGTCACATGACTTGCACCCATGCTTGCCGTAAAAGGCGACTATCGGGATCGGGTGGTCAGGCTCGCTGACTTGGTTGATGCATGTCATCGATCCCAATTGCGTGGATCGATGCTCATGATATTAATCACTGGATTGTCTGGGCCAGACTTGATTATTTAAAGACCGCCATCATTTAGCTGGAATATTGCTGAGTGCAGCATTAAACAACAAACCCCCCCAAAATCACATGACTTGCATTGACTCGGAAAAAGCGTGCAGATTTTTGCTTCAAAGCGGGGTATAAGGGATTTATTCTGCTGCTCAGAAATCCACGTGCAGCCTGTCTGGTTCGTGGTGGGATGTAAGTGATTTATTTATTTATTCTCCTGCTTGGGGGAATGGGTTGCCCAGTCGTCGCGATTCTCTGTGCAGAGTTGCGACCCTTGGGCATGACAGAAACCTATGATTGTGGGTTTAAATCTCGGTTCGCCCCGATTATGTTTCTAGGTTTGTCAGCACCAAACCCGTGCTCGTGGGTTTCCCGAAGTGTAAACATCTGAGACCTGCATCACTTCGGGCTTTCCTCCCACATAAAGCTGACACGCTGACCACGTTGAACCCAACTCTTTCACTCACTCACAATCCGATCTAATCATTCTGACATAGAGGTATGACTCAGCCAGTTGTAGCACTACAATCATTCTGTGCAACGTGGCCGTAGGGCCTACTGTCTACTGGCCATTGTAAGTCTGTGTATAGGGTCTACTGGTAATCCTATGTTGAACCATACTGGGGCCCACCCATTCCGAAAAGCGATCTTAGCGCTAAGACAATTAAAACGCCTATTCTTTAACACTGACTTACGACTGTCGTAACACTGGATCGTCATAGCGCTAAGATAGCTCTGAGGAACAGGGCCCACTTGCACAAAGCGATCTTAGCGCTAAGATGATCGTAACTCGATACTTTAACACAGGCATACAATAGTCTCAGCGCTAAGATGATAGTAACTCCATACTTTAACACAGGAATACAATAGTCTTAGCACAAAGATTGCTTTGTGCACGTGGGCCCAGGACTTGGGGCTGTAATCTTGGGTAAAACTACACTAATAATTGATTATTTGTTTATTAGATCACGAGGAGGTGGTGATTGTTTGTTTTTTTAAAATTATGTATCAAATAATCACAAAGATCCTGCAAACATTTCGTGTATTTTCTGGAATATGTGTTTTGTATTTAATACTTGTTGACGCAGGCTGTATAACAATGCAGTACCCATGATACATGAGGCTTGAAATAGTCAGCCATGTTTTATTTACAAGAACCTCTCTCAGGATAATTTTTACTCTGAGAGTTCATTTTGTATAACTGCATTATAACTGGTAATTGGTAACAAAGGGAATACTAAAATGATAACAAGAAAGTGGTGATTCTGAAGAACCAATAATCAATTTGTTGTTTGTTTGTTAGTGGGTAAAGCTTGTTGACACTGGATTGATGAGTATGAGGTTGCATGTATGACTTGTATACTGTAACAGATTGTTATTGTTGTTTGTATCCATCATGTTCGTTGTTTCACTCCTTATATCTGAAGACCACTGAAGGCCTATATGATAACCAGGGCACAGTTCCACAAAGCTATCTTTGCGCTAAGGTGGTCATAAGTCCCATTTACTCCCATAAATTTAACAAAGACTTACGAAGGTCATAGCACTAAGGTGATCGTAACTCCCACGAATGTAACATAGACTTACGAAAGTCATAGCGCTAAAGTGATCGTAACTCCCATGAATTTAACAATGACTTACGAAAGTCATTGCGCTAAGGTCGCATTGTGCAACTGTAATATTCATGTCCATATTTTTCAGCGATCTCCCACTATTGACAATTGACCACATCTTATTTTATAAATATAAAGTATGTTAATGGCATGTTGTGTTTATACTTTTTACTGTTTACCATAATCAGAGAAGGTTGTATGTTTGTAATGTTTTTTTCTGAAGGGCAGGGTCTAATAAGTATTATCAGTTGCAGAATTTTAATGGCATGTTGTGTTCATACTTTAGCTGTTTACCATAAACAGAGCAGGTTGTATGTGTGTAATGTTTTCTAAAGGGCAGGGTCTTATCAATTGTAGAATTTTTATTTTACAGCACTCATTTTCATTATAAATGACTGCATGTTGACAGTATAATGCTTTAACGCGTCATGCTAGCTTATATGAGAGATGTTATCATAATTTGATACCCCGATCGACGGATCACAATTGAGAATTTTTCCAAGTCATGGCAACCTGCAACTTTAGCCCATACTCCCAGGCAAGATTCTAGTAAAAAGTATTTTGGTCTAGTAGACTCATCAATAAAATGACACTGAATTGACTGAACATTATACAAGAGACAAGTTTGGGCAAGTAGATTTAAAAGGTTTAGGCAGACTGTCATGGCTGACTGATGATATTGCTAGCGTTTGTAAGGAATGTGTCCATGGACCAGTGGTAGTAGAAAATGCCATCAAACCTGTGTGTCTTACAATATGGACTGATTCTGTAGTTGTGTGAGTTGCCATCCTCGTGTTCAGTTCTGTGTCCACAGCTTGCATGACAGTGTGAGAATCATTTGTAGGAGTTTCACATGCCTGTGAGTAGATGTTGTCATGAGATGTTGATGTGAGGTATTTCTATCAGTATTCACAGTAGGCTTTAGTGATATTGGCTTACTTCTTGGTATAGGAAGGTTTTGTTTTTGTTTCTCTTTGTCACATTTTATGCTGTATATGTCTTTGCCTTTTTTGTGATTAATTGTAAAAAGCTGTTCTGGCACCTTGATACAGTATTGTCTCCCAATACACAGATGTGATATCAGGAATCACAGAGGCTGTATTAACAGATAAATGCCGAAAATATTTTCAAAAGCCCAAATATTTGAAAATGCCAAAATGTGTGCTTAATATGCAACAGAGGACACTTTTGAACTCACTGACAGGGGCCAAATGGTTTAAGTGCTTCAGAATTGTTGTACAGAGTTACCTCCCTTAGTCTGAATCTGCTGACCATGGGTTTTAATTCCATATTCACCCTGATTATGAACTATTTATGATTTGTTTGCACTGTTCTGGTGTTTGATCGCCAAAGGGTAATTGTCTGTATTATTGAGATAATTTTTATATATCTTTTTGGGGGGTTGTACTCACATGTTTGAATATGTTAAATCTTAAATAAAAACTAAATACTTGTGTAAAAAAGTTCCCATTCTGAAGGTGTTGTAATTTGTGCCCTGAGGACACAGTTCTTTTCTATATCTATATCTATATCTTTCAACACATGCTAATTAGCCTGACCCTCCACCCTCTTTAAAAAAGGGGTGGTCGGGTAGCCTAGTAGTTAAAGCGTACGCTCGTCACGCCGAAGACCTGGGTTCGATTCCCGACATGGGTACATTGTGTGAAGCCCATTTCTGGTGTCCCCCGCCGTGATATTGCTGGAATATTGCTAAAAGCGGCATAAAACAATACTCACTCACTCACCTCTTTAAAAATATACTAAAGGAGACTCAGTGTGAAGCCCCTGGAATATAGACTTGCTCAGATATACCTAGACTTGATTTGAGTTGTTACAGCCTGGTGTCTGCAGATCAGTGATGGCAGTGACTTGAACTGATGACCTCTGGTGGTATTTGTGGTTTGACCTCAATGAGGTTGCCATCTCTCAACTGGAAAAAATCTTTTCTCTGTGTGACTTTCTCTTAAAAGGATGGTTGTGATTATTTATACTTATTTATACATATACTTTGTTAATTGTTTACATAAAGAAATTCAATGTTGGGTGGTCTTTGTCTTTTTCTTTGTCTTGATATGATGCTGCCCAAAACAGCTTGGTCCGAGTGCGGGTGCAATGCTGCACTAAAATTTATTGTTTGTTGTTTAACGCCGCTTTCAGCAATATTCCAGCTATATGATGGCGATCTGTAAATAATCAAGTCTGGACCAGACAATCCAGTGATTGATATCATGAGCATCAACCCACACAATTGGGTGTATGCACGTGTGTGTGTGTGTGGCTGCTTGTACTAGTCCGGACTGTTGCCGATTTATAGTGCAGCCCACTGAGATACCATGCCGCAGTTTAACATGAATACCCTACTCAGACACAGTAAACTGATTCCGAGCCGACAAGTCCGTGCTTTAACCCTTTAATGCCAAGCGCCAGACAGGGTAATAACAAGTACCATCTTTTAACGTCTTTTGGTATGAAGCGGCCGGGAATCGAACCCCGGACCTTGATGTGGCTGTGACAGAGACGTGGTACGACTATGATTTAGCTGTGACAGAGATGTGGTACGGCTGTGATGTAGCTATGACAGACATGGTATGGCTGTGATGTAGTTATGACAGAAGTGGTACGGCTGTGATGTAGCTGTGACAGACGTGGTACGACTATGATGTAGCTATGACAGAGACGTGGTATGGCTGTGATGTAGCTATGACAGAAGTGGTACGGCTGTGATGTAGCTGTGACATAGACGTGGTACGACTGTTGTGTAGCTATGAGACAGACGTGGTACGACTATGATGTAGCTATGACAGAGACGTGGTACGACTGTGATGTAGTTATGACAGACGTGGTACGACTGTGATGTAGCTGTGACAGACATGGTATGGCTGTGATGTAGTTATGACAGAAGTGGTACGGCTGTGATGTAGCTGTGACAGACGTGGTACGACTATGATGTAGCTATGACAGAGACGTGGTACGACTATGATGTAGCTATGACAGAGACGTGGTACGACTGTGATGTAGCTATGACAGACGTGGTACGGCTATGATGTAGCTATGACAGACGTGGTACGGCTGTGATGTAGTTATGACAGAAGTGGTACGGCTGTGATGTAGCTGTGACAGACGTGGTACGACTATGATGTAGCCATGACAGACGTGGTACGGCTGTGATGTAGCTATGACAGAAGTGGTACGGCTGTGATGTAGCTGTGACAGACGTGGTACGACTATGATGTAGCTATGACAGAGACGTGGTACGACTGTGATGTAGCTATGACAGACGTGGTACGGCTATGATGTAGCTGTGACAGACATGGTATGGCTGTGATGTAGTTATGACAGAAGTGGTACGGCTGTGATGTAGCTGTGACAGACGTGGTACGACTATGATGTAGCTATGACAGACGTGGAACGACTTATGAAGCTATGACAGACGTGGTATGGCTGTGATGTAGCTATGACAGACGTGGTACGGCTGTGATGTAGCTATGACAGACGTGGTACGACTATGATGTAGCTATGACAGACGTGGTACGACTATGATGAAGCTATGACAGACGTGGTACAACTATGATGTAGCTATGACAGACGTGGTACGACTATGATGTAGCTATGACATAGATGTGGTACGACTATGATGTAGCTATGGCAGACGTGGTACGGCTGTGATGTAGCTATGACAGAAGTGGTACGGCTGTGATGTAGCTATGACAGATGTGGTACGACTATGATGAAGATATGACAGAAGTGGTACGGCTGTGATGTAGCTATGACAGACGTGGTACGGCTGTGATGTAGCTATGACAGAAGTGTTAAGACTATGATGAAGCCATGATAGTGTTGGTTGGTTGGTTGGTTTGTTGTTTAACGCCGCACTCAGCAATATTCCAGCTATATGACGGCGGTCTGTAAATAATCGAGTCTGGACCAGACAATCCACTGATTAATATCATGAGCATCAATCCACGCAATTTGGATTGATGACATGCGTCAACCAAGTCAGCGAGCCTGACCACCCGATCCCGTTTGTCGCCTTTTACGACAAGCATAGTCACCTTTTACGGCAAGCATGGATTGCTGAAGACCTATATTCTACCCCGGAATCTTCACGGATCCTAAGGGGTACAGAGTCTTTCAACTCGCCTTGCAGCTCCTCAAAGCTAATTGGTGGTAGAAAACGAAAATTATTGTCTTTCGCGGGCAGATCATGGGAAAACTTACTTTGCGTAAGAAAAATGTCATCATCCGAGTGCATTTTCACGACCATGTGCCACTCAGTCAGCATTCAAAGCGCGTGCATTTCGAGGCAGGGGCAAGCACGTGACGAAATGGTTAGCTCTGATTGGCGCACTCCCGCGGGGTACGATCAATATGAGTGATGGGTTAAAAAGGTAGAGAATAGAAACAAAATTTAATAAAACATTACAAATTCTTGTAAACTTTTCGGTTAATAAGTCGGATAAGGGACTCGATTCGGTCTTGGTGCCTGGATGCAGACCTGAGGGAGTCCCGACCCCCTAGGGTCTGCATCCAGGCAGAAAGACCTCTCCTCGTACCTTATCCTTTACAAAAAGGCCATTTATAATAATATTGAAGAGCACGAGGCGTGAGGTACCATATTCAGTCAAATACATATCAGAAAAGACCTGACCAATGCGAACTTGGATAGACTTTTCAGAAAGAATCGCTAATCCATATGTTGCCTTTTACCCCAAGATTCTGCCATTTGAAAGTAGTCCTTGACTCCAGATCATATATGCTTGAAAAGCACGGGGCTATTAACACTACCGGGTTGGGTACCATTTTCAGCCCAATGCATACCAGGAAAGTCCTGAACAATTCAAACTTGGATAGACTTTTCAGAAAGAATCGAGCTAATCCAAATGTTGCCTTTTACCCCAAGATTCTGTAATTTGAAAGTAGTCCTTGTCTCCAGATCATATACTCAACAACAAAAGTTCCTGTGACACCAATATTTTCGTGTATTTTTCAAACAAGTAAAGTTTGGTTTTCAATATTGTAGTACATGTATGGAATCAAGTCACAAAAACGTAACTGCTACAGAAAAGCACGCATTCCATGCAAAAGTTGACTTTTATGCAAGCCCCATGCATTTCACTACCCAAGAATGGGTATAAAAACATGTAAGCTAACGGGATTCCATATGCATTGTTTAGCATCGAGCTGACAACAACCACTCAGAAAAAAAACAAAATTACGCAATTATTCAACATTACGAAAGTAATTCAGCCTGTCCGAAAATGAGCGTCTGCGAACCATTGGTATGCTTGAAGCAGGATCGAGTCAACGTGATGTTGCAAGACAATTTATCGTCCACAGAAGCACCATTTGGTGTTTATGACAACACTGGCAACAGACGAATGCAGTCAGAGACCATCCTCGGAGTGGCAGGCCACGCGTAACCAATAATCGACAAGACAACTGGATTCGAACAACACACCTACGAAATCGATTCCAACCAGCAACAGTGACTGCAAGAAGCATCCCCGGCCTGACGAATATCTTCACAAACTGTACGTCGTCACCTCAGATGTGCAGGGATTGTCACCAGAAGACCCACCAGACGTCCCATTTAGACAGGAAACCACCGTCAAGCACGTCTACAGTGGTGTAGACAGCGTCTACGCTGGGCGGCCATGCATTGGGGACAAGTTCTATTCACTGACAAGTTCTATTCACTGACAGCGATGGACGGATTCGAGTGTACCGACGTCGAGGTGAACGTTACGTCAATCATTGTGTCATGGAAGAAGATCGGTTCGGGGGCGGCAGCGTTATGGTATGGGGTGGGATTACAGCAACAATAATTTCCAAAAACCAAGATTCAGGGAAGTTGGCATTATTAAACAACTAATTAAACTGCACTGTAAGATACGGTACATCAATATCATTCGCATGTTTAAACAATTCTGAAATGAGGGGGTCATTTCCTGCGGATTAATCAAATTTCAAAGACTTAATAGCATATAGCACCTCCTCTCGTGAAATGGGGGAGTCCAGAATATAGCAAGGCATATCATTATGAATATCATTAATAGTCGTATCGGTGATAACCGCATCTTCATCTGTTGGATTGTCAAACACATCTTTAAAATGATCGACCCATTGTTCTAGTGCTATGTTAGGTACACGAGTTGCCACACTCTGAGATAACCCTCGTATGGTAGGCCAGAAACATTTACTATTTGGAAGACTTGAAAAAATCTTATTACATATATTCATAATAACTTTTCTTTTCATCACGTAATAAACTTGTGTGAGTATTTCTTGATTTTAAATAACTAAATAAAGTGCTACCATTCTAAAAATGTCTATATAATTAGTCTATATGAAGCCAGCATAGTTGGGTCCTTCCCTGGTTTGGCGTTGGAACCAAGATGGCATATTTCCATGCTTAAGAAGTAGTCCAAGAACTCAACAAATATTTGGTAGATCTTGGACAATTAAAAGAGCAGAAGCACATTTTATATAATAGTGATTGTGTGAGGTGGGTTAAATAGGGTTCCAGTTATATCACGGTGTGTCAGTTTAATGTGGGAGGAAATCTCCAAGTGATGCAGGTCTCGGGGGTTTACCCCTTGATGGAATCCCACGAGCACGGTATGGTTCCGACAAACCAAAAAACATAATCAGAACGAACCCGGGTTCGAACCCATAATCATAGGTTTCTGCCCAAGCGACGCAACTCTGCACAAAGAGTTGCGGCACCTTAGACAACAAGCCTAACTGCGCCCCTTTCATATTATAAGAATATCATATAATTTATGTGTGCTTATCATTGTCAGAAATTAATGAAAGGAACAAAACCACCATTTTCCTAAAAGTATATTTATTCAATCCTTTGTTCCAATGTTAAATTCAAAGCTGCCGGCAGAGACTTTAAAGTGACAACTGAAAAAGAGTAAAAATACAGTATCAGGAGCAATGCATGTGAAGATCCGGGGTAGAATAGGTCTTCAGTAGACTAAAATCTAGTCTCTGAAATGAACATATCGTACATAAAAAAAACAGTTGTTCAGTTATCTTAATAAAAATATAATAAAAATGAGCCCAGTGACTCTCTTCATTTTCAGATACTGCAGTGATCTAGACTTGCCAAACATTATAGACTTGCATGGGCTGTATTTGATATATATTTGTATCAGGGTCTGTAAGACAGACTAAGGTCTTCAGCAACCCATGCTTGCCGTAAAAGGCGACTCTGCTTGTCATTAGAGGCGACTAACGGGATCGGATGGTGAGGCTCGCTGACTTGGTTGATGTATGTCATCGATCCCAAATGCGCAAAAACGGACACGGCGTCGTCCAGACTCGATTATTTACAGACCGCCGTCATATAGCTGGAATATTGCTGAGTACGGCGTTAAACAAACAAACAAACAAACAAAGCATGAATCTGGGACTAAACAGGAATCTTTTCAGTCCCCAGTACAGGAAAAAATCATTTATTCATACACAGATGATGTTGAGAATTGGATGTTTACCATAGATCTGGAGATAAACGTCTGGTTAAATTCCCTCATGAACAAGAAAACTGCCCGGTGTAACTTGTTTACTGCTAAAAGTGGAGATAAAATCCCCATGTTGTGTTACACAATTTACGCACATTAATTGTGATACTTTCCTTTGAACTGTTTAATTCGAGAGGACTTCAGGCTACAACATAGCATTATCTTTACCTCATCGCCTATTTTCCAGCGTTGATGAGAGCCTGCAGAAGGGCTGCGTCGGAGGCACCACTGCTGCCGCTGCTGCTGCTGCCGCCGCTGGGGATGGGGACGGGGATTGGGATGGGGTAGTCCTCGGAGGAGGAAGAGGAGGATCCGGAGCTGCCTCCACAACAGCCGCAGCCGGAGGAGCCGGAGGAGCCTGAGGATCCCGATGAGTGGTAGTGGTGCACGTGCTTAACTGAAGAGGAGTGATGATGGTGGTGATGATGACGATGCCGACGGTGGCGATGGGCAAGGCTGACAGCCAGAAGCATAGCTGGAATGACATACATGTAACTTTCATTTCTTTTTCGAAAATAAGAAAACTTGATAGGTGATTTTTGAAATGACAACAGGCCTTTTATCAAACACTGAAACAACTTGCTTTCTAAATCCACAGATTAGCTATTTCTGATTTGTCTTTTGAGCTAACAGAGAGTTTATCATGGCGCCGTGTCTGGTTTTTGCTTTGCCCAATATGATAGACTGTTCATAGGAAGAAAATAACAACCGGCAATATTTGATAAAAAATTTTTTTAATATATTTTTCGATGCCATGTTAAAGCTCAGTGTTTTTGTATAAATAAAAACTTCTCATGCTGTTGATGGTTTCGGAGGTAATGATGCGATGTTTAGTAACATTTGGCAACACATTTTCTTGCAATAGCTGCAAGTAATTAAACATGAACGTGTTAGAATACAGTAATTCCTCCAACATCTGGTATTCTCAAGTAACAAATGACAAAACAGGTTACTAGGTTACTGTGAGTATATGCTTATGGTTATCCAAATGTTTTTCACATTTAGTATACAATTCATACACTTTACTTACCAACAAAAACGAAGATGAGTGAGAATTTCATGGTGAGTGTCTTGTTTTTCTTTGTGAGAAGAGGAGAACTGGTGATGAGGAGACAAGTTGTCGTGTATATATACCAGAAGACTCTTCCCACGTGGAGCCAACAGAGAGACGATAAAGTCAACAGGATGTGGTTTGGGCGAGACCACTGGCAGAGGGACCTATGGAGATAATCGTATCTCCGATGAGATACCTGGGTCTTAAGCTGTTGTGATTAAACCTTGTTTCTAAAATAAACCTTGCTGCATCATGTCACATTAGATTTTATACTTCATCACAAACTCTTATGATGACTTGGGTTAAATGCTTTCATTGAACCAGCTTTTATGTCATCACGAGGGACTGTACATTATCAATGAAAAACAGTAAGATGTGAGGGAAACGGTTTGTCAAGGTTTCACGACGTACAAATAGTTCGGGTTAAAATTAGGCATGGTGGCAAAACTGTGTTTTGATATTTCACAAAGCGTTTTATATACAGTAAAATACGTTTATAACGAACACGCTTATAACGAACTGACGGATATAACGAACTTTATTTGTTGTACCGGCCATTTGATGTAAAGAGGTTGAATATATGCTTATAACGAACTACGGTTATAACGAACTAAAATTAGTGGTTCATTTGAGTTCGTTATAACCGTAGTTTACTGTATTTCAAGATTGACGGCGATGTATATTGATCGTGAACTTTAATGGACCGGCTGTTTTGGTGATTTGGTTGACAGCATGACGACACGGATCATTGCTCAATTTACCTATCACTGTTTTGTCTGTCCAGGCTCGACTGTTCACAGGCCGCCGTCGCATTGCAGGCGTATTGCTTGGTGCGGCGATGGTTGGTTGGTTGGTTGTTTTACGCCGCACCGCGCAATATTCCAGCGGTCTGTAAATAATCGAGTCTGGACCAGACAATCCACTGATTAATATCATGAGCATCAATCCACGCAATTGGGATCGATGACATGCGTCAACCAAGTCAGCGAGCCTGACCACCCGATCCCGTTAGTCGCCTTTTACGACAAGCATAGTCACCTTTTACGGTAAGCATGGGTTGCTGAAGACCTATTCTACCCCGGAATCTTCACGGGTCGGTGCGGCGGTGGCAACAAGTTGACACACTTGTTTTATCAAAAAAGTGTGTAGTAAGCGGGCGGTACCGATATAGCAGGACTCGCTTCACCTGTTCGGGAACACCTGGTTTCATCGCTGAGTCTCAGTGATCGATAACTTTCATTCGACAGATAATAGACTGGGTATTCTCTTACGTTGACGTTTTGAATTTACTTAAAATTTATTTAACAATTGAAATTTAATGTTATTCACATTCCATGTTATCAAACATGTCATTGAAGGAAAGCTTTGCACCCTCTGAGTGGAAATTGAAACTTTATCAAGGAGAAAAACTAAACTATGTAACTATTGGCATATATTTTCGTTTATGTCATTTTGGGGAAGGATTTGAATGCATACTGTTCAAGCCCAGTACGAATTCCTGGTAAGAACTGGTCCAGAGCAAGCTTTTCTTGTAAGAAGCATGTCACGGATTGACACAATTGTTGGGCAGTCAGGCTTGGTGACTTGGTTGAGGTGAGGTGAAATTGGGTTTAACGTCGCGTCCAAGATTATTGCACTTATATAGCGACGTGCATGCACGTGTATGTGTGTGTGTGGCTGCTTGTACTAGTCCGGACTGATGCCGATTTATAGTGCTAGCTCACTGAGATACCATGCCGCAGTTTAACATGAATACCCCACTCAGACACAGTATACTGACTCCGAGCCGACCAGTCCTTGTTTTAGCCCCTTAATGCCGAGCGCCAGACAGGGTAACAACAAGTACAATCTTTTAACGTCTTTTTGTATGACGCGGCCCGGGATCGAACCCTGGACCTTCCGCTCTCCGGGCGGACGCTCTACCACAAGACCACGGAGGCGGTCTGGTGACTTGGTTGATAATGTATCAACGTGCCCTGACAGCGTGAATCCTTGCTCATAACATTAGTCACTGTATATTCTGGTCCAAATGGTTGGTTGGTTTGTTGTTTAACGCCACACTCAGCAATATTCCAGCTATATGACGGCGGTCTGGAAATAATCGAGTCTGGACCAGACAATCCAGTGATTAATATCATGAGCATCGATCAACGCGATTTAGATCGATGACACGCATCAACGAAGTCAGCGAGCCTGACCACCCGATCCTGTTAGTCGCCTCTTATGACAAGCATAGTCGCCTTTTACGGCAAGCGTGGGTTGCTGAAGACCTGTTCTACCCCGAATCTTCACGGGTCTTCTGGTCCAGACTGGCTGAGACTTACAGGACGCATATTACTGCGTCCTACAAATTGAGGTTGGAAACAAATAATTAACATTATGGTTCTTGGAATCACGACATTTATCAAAATTGTAGCTTGCATGTTTCATGGAATCGACATTTCTATTCAGGCAAGAAATTACTAAAAAATCAGAGTGTCAATGATTAATTTTCTTCAGTCAAAAATAATTTCCCCAACTTAATGCTTCTTAGCATGTGCTATGAAATCAATAACATTCCTGTAAATCAAGTGAAGCGTGCCAAGCTGTACTCTTGTACCTATATTGTCCTGTTGGGAGTCCTCTTGACTCGATGGGCGGTCGGGTAGCCTAGTGGTTAAAGCGTTCGCTCGTCACGCAGAAGACCCGGGTTCGATTCCCGACATGGGTACAATGTGTGAAGCCCATTTCTGGTGTCCCCCGCCGTGATATTGCTGGAATATTGCTAAAAGCGGCGTAAAACCATACTCACTCACTCTTGAATCGAAGAGAGACCGACCAAGGTAAATCCCTGGCTTCAGATAGAGGTCCGGAGAGAGTGAGACTATTGTATAAGAACTGGAAGTAAAGTTGTGGATGAAGGATATATTATTCTATGCAGTAAATGTGGCCCGGACATAAAGCCCAATTAGTCACAGTCCGGTTTTGACAGATTCCAATGAAGCTAAGTTGCATTTTATATTATTCTTTCAAACAATGAGTAATTCATTCATAAGCTGTGCAGTATGGCGTATGATCTTGATACATCAAGTAAGGCTGCGTTCACACAGTGCCGATTATGGCTCCCGTTTGAGATCAGACGGCGCTACGACACGAAAAGTGAAAAAGTCGGATTACTATCCTCAATGATCTGGAATTCCTATCATTGTCAGAACGCAGTCGTATGCGTTCGTAATGTGTTAAAAATAAGTTTCGACAGTTTCATAATTGTCTTTAACGTCCTTCTCAATAAATATACCCATAAATAGCTGACGTACATATCAGATGCTGTTGATCTGTCATAACTTTTATAATACTAGTACCGGTACTTTAGGCACATCATCACTCAGTGGGCTATTAGGGCTGAAATCTTAAAAAATCAGTTATAAATATATGAAATACCTGCATCTTATTTGTTTTTTGTCTAATCATGTATCTACAATAATAACAGGAAAACAATACATGTATAACGTACTCTGAAACAGAAAACTATTCGGGAGTAAGGAAGAGGGTTCAGTATATCTCTGTTTCCAACTAGTGTTGTACTAATTCCTCCTAAAAGTACGTCTACTACAGCATTCGTCACCACTCGCCCCTTTTCGTAACCTGCAAGAAGACTCGTCCCCCAATCGATGAATGTTATGTGCGAAAATACGACAAACCAATCAGAATGCGCGTATGATTTCAAGTTCTTCGTCAAAGAATCCCTCAGAAATAATTTTTGATTTTACACATGTCTTGCATTTAAAAATTTACCCAAGACACAGTTAAATGTGTTCAATCATACCGTATAATTCCGCGTGTCCAGATGAGCTTTAAATTGCACCTGAAATATATATAATATACGGGGAAATACGTGTGAACCATTACGCAACGAGTTGACAATTGTTTTAGGTATGCCCGTTTGCGCTAAGACGGAACCCGGTCGCAAAAATGATGTGAGGTGAAATTGGGTTTAACGTCGCGTCCAAGATTATTGCACTTATATAGCGACGTGCATGCACGTGTATGTGTGTGTGTGTGGCTGCTTGTACTAGTCCGGACTGATGCCGATTTATAGTGCTAGCTCACTGAGATACCATGCCGCAGTTTAACATGAATACCCCACTCAGACACAGTATACTGACTCCGAGCCGACCAGTCCTTGTTTTAGCCCCTTAATGCCGGGCGCCAGACAGGGTAACAACAAGTACAATCTTTTAACGTCTTTTTGTATGACGCGGCCCGGGGTCGAACCCTGGACCTTCCGCTCTCCGGGCGGACGCTCTATCACAAGACCACGGAGGCGGTCCCGCAAAAATGGCCCTGAGAGGGGCACGAGTCGCTATTCGGCTTGTCCCGGAATAACACGAGTTGGTCACGAATGGTATTAACCCAACGATAATGTTGGTAGATGTATGGATGGAAAATACTGATAATCAGCTCGCCATGAAGTACAGCGTTCATCCCTAACACACCTTATTGACTAATTACGGCCCATTAAGTTTACCTTAAATTTGACCAGAATCAGCTACAGGAACATACCTGAACTCTCACACCACCGTAGACAATCTAGACATGGCGAATAGTAGACTACGGTTAAAACGAACACGCTTATAACGAACTGACGGATATAACGAACTTACATTTTGGTCCCGACTATTTGCTGTAGTTATGCTGTATATATGCATATAACGAACTACGGTTATAACGAACTAAAATTAGTAGTCCCTTTGAGTTCGTTATAACCGTAGTTTACTGTATGTCAGACCTTCACTAAAGGTAGCCAAGCGCTACTTAATCCTCAAACAATGTTTTCATTGTCATGCCAGCAGTTTTAGCGTCAATTTGTTTTCCCCTTCTATTGTGCTTTTTATGTCCCATGTTTTTATTTTTTATATTTTTGTTGTTGTGTAACGCCACACTCAGCATTATTCCAGCTATATGACGGCGGTCTGTAAATAATCGAGTATGGACCAGACAATCCAGTGATTGATATCATGAGCATCGATCTACACAAGTGGGATACGATTACATACATCAACCAAGTCAGCGAGCCTGACCACCTGATCCCGTTAGTCGCTTCTTACGACAAGCATA